TACATGTAGTTACATGTAATCCTCCCATTACCTACAAGACTTTTATGGACTACTCAGAGATACATGTAGCTGTTATTATTATTGTTTTGCTTGAGAAATTTTCTTGTATAAAGGATGAATTGTGGCATTTCAGATTTCATTAAACCTTTTCCATTAAAGGTTTTCTGTAAGAATATAAGTAAAGAAAGATCCATTGAATTCAAGCTTAAAATAAAGGCACCTTGTACAATGTCAAGCCTAAATTCAGGTTTTGTCAGACATAATTTGTCTGGTACCAATCACTTTGTACGATACTGACGACATCATATTTCTTTATTTTTCTGGATAATTATAATGCTAAATATATTTCAAGATGGGAGGGGGTGGGGCGAATAGTTAGCGCACAGCGCGTTGCATCATAAGGTCTGTCATTCAGTCAAGTGGCATGATTTCGAATCCCCGCTTGTACTTGACAAGGAGTAGGATCACCTGTCCAACCTCATGGGCTTCAACGGGTCCTCCAGTTTCCCTCCGCTTCCTACGTGCAAACGAATTATTGAAATAAAATTGAACCATATGTTATGACCTAGTTTGTGTCGGGTGGACATTAAACTCGTTTCTCTCTATCGACGTGCAAGAAAATTAATTAAATAAAATTGAATCATGTTAGTCCCGAAATGACCTAGTTTGTGTCACTGGATCTCTCTCTCACCCCTCCCCACCCCCTCCCCTCCCCATGTGTCAAGAAAAAAGTTAAACATGTTAGATGCACCTGTAAATTTGTCAGATTCAACAAAAAAAAAAAATAATTTGAAGGCCTGATTCTATTTGAGGAATTGAGTGATTAATGTACTTTATGTGATGGTTGATAGAAACCCATTTATTGTAACTTGATATGGAAGAGGTGTCTACTACTACTTCAATCTTACATTAACTGCCTGTTAAATTTCTAGATAAATGAACATAAATGTTACTACTTGAAGTATCAGTTTAAAAGCTTATAAATGTACATGTATTAACCTTAACTGTAAGTTGATCCATACATGTATGTACTAGGTTTTTTTGTCCCCTTATAAAATATTAATGAAACAAAAATACATCAGGGACCGTACAATATCAATACATTTATATTTTCTTAAAATTTCATCATGTCTTATAAAATGGAAAAAGATATAAAAATGTAAGATTTCACTATTTCTCAAAAAATGAGACAAAAAATTTTTCAGAATATAAAATTAACCATTAATCTCTACTCCCAATAATAACTTTCTATACTAATATTATAAATCCGGTTTTGAATAAGAAAATCATCCGGGCATTTTATAACCCCCAGCTTGCTGCTCTCTTTCATTTTCTATTTCGGGGATCACGTGGCTAAGTGGGTAAGACGCTAGCTCGCTAGCCTGGAGGTCGGGTGTTCGATCCCTGCATTGGCCGAGAAAGTTCATCCAGATTTTCCGGTGTGGTTCTCCCTTGTCAGTGATGCAGGACGGAGGGGCTGACAAGGAAAGCTGTCTAGTCGTTCGGATGGGACGAAAAACCGAGGTCCCGTGTACACATTGGCGTGCACTTAAAAGATCCCTTGGCAGTTGGAATTCGATATAAGAGTAGGCCCTAGTGCCGCTGTCCGGGCAAAATTTCCCTCATACATGTAGCACACTGTATGGCGTATGCCCGTCTTCATTAGCCCAGGTTAGGAGCAGAACAGTAGGACGTTAAACCCCATTTCATTTCATTTCATTTCATTTTCTGTTTGACAGGGTTCAGTTAATGTTATGTATATCATTATAAAATGAAATGGGTTTAATGTCCTACTGTTCTGCTCCAACTGGGATAATGAGGACGAGCATAAGCCATACATTGTGTTATGAGGGAAATTTTGCCCAGACAGCGATGCTAAAGCCTACTCTTATATCGAATTCCAACTGCCAAGGGATCTTTATGTGTACGCCAATGTGTACATGGGACCTTGGATTTTCGTACTATACGAACGACTAGACAACTGTCCTTGTTTAGATCATCAATCCTACACCACCGACAACAGGTAACCCAAACTGGAGAACCCCGATAAACTTTCGTGGCCAATATCAACAGCGAAATCGCGACCTCTAGACTAGCGAGCCAGCATCTTACCCACTTAGCCACAGTGGCTCCCTGTGTTGTTATATGAACATAAAGTAAAGATGACTGCGACCATTAATTCCACCAGTGCTACTGGAGGTTGAGACAAGATAACGGGACAGTGGCTGCTGATATTAGTTGTTGCTTTTCTTTACCACAATTCCAGATCTTGATCTAGATATTATATCTAGATTATGATGCAAGTAAAAAAAGTCTTCTGGTATGAATTCAAAAAATCGAGAAAAAAAATTCAGATATTGAATTGCAGTGTTGCTGTAGTATTATATGGAATTGGAGATTGTATTGTTAGAATACAAGCTGTTGTCATAATGGTAGATAAAGCAAATCCAATGAAAATCAATTATTATGTTTTAGTTTCTGCAGATATAATTGGTATTTATTATAGATGTGGATAGATACATGTATAATTAGACCAGGGGCCTGTTTCACGAAATTTTAACTAAGATAAAATCCAAATTTTAGTAATTTGATTGGATAATATTAGATTGATTTTAGCGCTTAGCCAATCAAAATTGAAGTATCTACTAAAATTGGATTTTATCTTTAGTTAAGATTTTGAGAAACAGCTACCAGGGGTGTCAAAATCATTTCGATTCAGGGTTAACATGAACTAATAGCCCGTTCAGACGCTTATTTTTAAACCAGTTCATAATCACTGGGGTTTTTAAGACAGCATCGTGTTGCGTGTACTATAAGCCAAACCAGTTTAACTATTCTGACCTCTTCGGTCGGAGGTTAGAGTTAACTAAGCATGGGTAGCTTCATATTCTTTATTCCGTTCTCGCACGCTTTCGATAACATTGGCACTGTCTGACCCCAACATTTTCACAGGAATGTAACTTACTGCGTACTGCGCATACTCAAAGCAAGCTGGAGCTGGGGTTTTAAGCCAACCCGTTCAGACAGCTAAGATGAACCAGTTTAAAATAAAAAGCCTTCTCGAAGACAGGTCGCGAGCTGGGGTTTTTAAACTGGTTTATTTGCCCCACATTTGCGTTCAGACACTTAAGTTAAACTGGTTTAAAAATCCCCAGGGTTTTTAAACCAGTTCAATTTAAGCGTCTGAATGGGCTATAAGATTTTGCTCCAAGTGGGCCGGAGATATTCAAAGATATCAAAAAAATTTGATTTATCGGACTAAAATCGTCACATATTATAATGGAATTCAATACTTTGAAATAGACCAAATTAGCCAACTTAGATATCTATGACATACAGTACAGAAGTCAGGGTTTTACTCAGAGTTATTACCGGTACCTTTTTTACTAAGACAATAAATGTATTTAATATTAGTTCGATTTAATTTTTAAAAAACCCAAACAGACTCTCCTACTCTCCTATTTAAAATTCCACCACAGACCAACTTAAACCAGACTGTCCTATTGAAAATACAATCACAGACCTACTGTGTTTTTAGCTTTTGGACACTCTAGAGGTCACAATTTTTATATGATTTTGATAAAACTTAAACAGATCTTGGTTCCCTCGATATTAACGCATGTCGGACTGTAGTATCTTGGATTATACCCACTGATTGTATGCAAAATCAATTTTTTAGCTAGTTTTCTGTCCACCTCTTGCAAAATGTGGGCGTATATTGCAAGGCAACTGCTTATTGATGTAAGGAAAAAAATGCCTGCTATACACTGCTAAACACGTCCATTGTCAACTAGTGTAATTACCGTTACTTGTAACAGTGTGTGTGTGTTAATATTGTATGACTAATGGAAATAGACACAGGTCTGTAATATATGAGACATAGAGATTGGTCCAGTAATATTGGAGATAAGTTATTGAATACTGATTTCACCATCACAAACTACAGGTTTTCATTTCTTTTTGATGAGCTTCTGAATCATTGATACAGGTAGTCATATGGACCACACCTAAAGATTTCAATACATGAAACTGAAACATTCTTATATCAGTTATATCGAGTGATGTTGTTCAGAATATACTAATACAGTATATTATTAATAATTTGTTTCATTTTTATACAACCACATGGAAATGTGGTAGTACATGTAAATTGCGGTCGCGCCTGTCCATTATTTCTTGTGAACACACTACAGTCTACATTTATCATCTGATTGTTTTGAAATTGAAATACGTTGTTTACATAAGTGAGATGAAGAGGCCTTTTTAATTTCAATAATTTCCGTTGATTTTTTCTGGAGTTGGTAATAGCCCTTGTTTCACTTTGCTGTTCTTTGTTATCATCCGATCTGTATAAAATGTGTATGCATTATTGATATTAGTAAAATGAAGAAGTCTATTGAATTTCAGCAATTTCTTTTAATTACTTTTAGAGTTAAGACCCTCATTTCAGGTTATAGACCCATGTGAACCCTCAAACGACAAAAATTATAATCTGATCTGTATGAAATTGTCTTAAGTAAATTAGTTAAGCGAAGAATCCTATTGAATTTCAGTAATTTCCGTCAATTACTTCTAGATTTATGGCCCTTGCTTTACTTTGTTGAACCTTGTGAATGCTTGAATGCCAAAAGTTATCATTCAGTCTGTATAAAATTTATATGTACCATTTAAGTTAATGAAACAAAGAAGCCTGTCGAATTTCATCAATTTCCGTTAATTATGACCCTTGTTTCACTTTGTTGAACCTTGTGATCACTTGAAGAACAAAGTTATCATCCATTCTGTTTGAAATTTATATAATCATTTAAATTAATGAAATGAAGAATCCTATTGAATTTCTTTCATTTACTTCTAGAGTTATGGCCCTTGTTTTACTTTGTTGAACCTTGTGATCACTCAATGCCCGTCTTCATTAGCCCAGTTCGGAGCAGAACAGTAGGACGTTAAACCCCATTTCATTTCATCCATTCTTTTTAAAGATTCCATTTAATGTTTTTCAGGCATACAATAAATTAGGGGATGATATAGTATATGCCTGGTGGCCAGCTAAATTAAAGATGTTAAAAGGCGAATTTGCTGTAATAGATTATAAAGGTGGTCAAAGTGCCTCAGATATTCTCCCTTTAGAAAAAATACGTCCATCTTCTGTACAGTAAGTATCTAATATATAAAGTTTATTTATACAAGAACCAAACAGCCATGTTGTTTACCAGTATACACAAGAGAATTTGTTTTGTGGCGGTACACCAGGGGCCTGTTTCACAAAATTTTAACTAAGATAAAATCCAAATTTTAGTAATTTGATTGGATAATATTAGATTGATTTTAGTGCTTAGCCAATCAAAACTGAAGTATCTATTAAAATTTGGATTTTATCTTTAGTTAGATTTTGAGAAACAGGGCCCTGGTGATATTACTAATATTAACCTCAGAGAATACTTTAAAATTCTTGAAAACCACAAAAATTTGTACTTTTCGTAAATTAAAAGCAAAAACATTCTCATGTACATTGTATAAGAAAAACAATTTGGGTGGGGGGTTGATTTCTGAATGGCTTGCACGTTGAATCATGAGGTCTGTCATTGAGCCAACTGACATAGTAGTTTCGATTACCGATTACCTGGTCCTACGTGACAAGGAGTAGGGTCGCCTGTGGGTTTTCTACTTGTCCTTCGATTTCATCCCACAGCTAAAGACCCCTACGTGCAAGTGAATTATTGAAATAGAATTGAACCATATCATATGTTAGTCCCGAAATGACCTAGTTTGTGTCCAGTGGATGATAAACCTCTCTCTCTCTCTCTCTCTCTCTCTCTCTCTCTCTCTCTCTCATTGACAATTTGATGTATGCTGCAGAACCTCCTAACATAATTATTTTGCAACGTACGCTACATGTACGATTGAATTTATTGCTTATTTTTGTTTTTTTACAGTGTACCCATTCATAAAGATAGTTTTTTTAGGTTTTCTTTAGAAATTCCTCCAGACCTAGCAGAGGCGTAAGTACTCCACTATAAATTTATACAGGTTTTATTCTGGGTTGTTCCATGTCCAGCACTAATGATTAAGAAATGGGCGATAAGCAGGAAGAAATCGTGAGAGTTAAAAAATTTAGTGTTATGTTGTCTCAAATCAGCACATGAATTAGATTATAACTGCTGGATTAGAGGACACCATTAACTTGTCTCTATTTTCAATGTAATATTTTGAAATTGAAAATATATTTTAACTTCTTTCATTTTGTTTATAGATGTCAGGAAGAGTCGTCATTGGCTGAATTCAAACGCCATTGTGGTGTTGGTGTTGTATCTTATCATCCAAACGAGGACGCTCTTGTTGTTCTGGTAATTATCTCTGTATATATATAGTATTCATGGTTTGATAAACCATAAGCATATGTTCTTGAGGGGGGGTTTGATGGCTGAATGGTTAACACGTGCGCACTGTACCATAAAGTCTGTCATTGAATCAACTGGCGTGGTTTCGATTCCCCGGTTGTACGTGACAAGGAGTAGGGTCGCCTGTCCAACCTCGTGTGTTTTCTCTGGGTCCTCCGGTTTCCTCCCACTGCTAAAGACCCCTACGCGCAAGCGAATCATTGAAATAAAATTAAACCATATGTTTGACCTGGTTTGTGTTGAGTGGATGTTAAACACCATTATTGAAATAAAATTAAACCATATGTTAGTCCCAAAATGACCTGGTTAGTGTTGAGTGGATGTTATACCCTCTCTCTCTCTCTCTCTCTCTCTCTCTCCCTCTCTCTCTCGCTTTCTCTATTTTTGAGTTTTCCTCTTGGATCTGGAATTTGGTCTTATTAAAAATGGCTTGTTACTTGCAAGTTTCATTTTCACGCGGATAATCTTGACTCAATGACCATTGAATATGTTCTTATTTTGAGATTTGCATGTAGTTATAGAGTAAAAAGCAAACTAAATGACCACTGAATACCGCCAGGGTTATTCATAGGTTCACTTTTTCTCTCTCACCCCCATGCCCCCAACATGCCCCCAACATGCCTGGCAACAAGTTTTTATATAGCAACACAGAAATGTGACGAATAATGATTACAACAAATTATAATAATTACTTATACTAATTAAATTATTGCTCGGATGACTTACATGCTGTGGGACATGTTTTGTTTCCTGGCAACTTATATTATCTTTAATTTACACTTGGCAGTGTATTTAATACTACGAAAACTAGAAATAATATCCATGTATTCAACACATACCGACCTTAATTTTCCAGTGAGTAACATGCTACAAGATATTTACGATTATATTAATTCTATTTTTCAGTCCACAAATGAATCTGTGATTAAAAAGGCTTCCATATTAGGAGATATGTTTTTACGCAACCTTAGGCAAAAAATATTACTTAAACAACGTACAGAAGAAGCAGTAAAAAAATTACAGGTAAATAAACTATTATTTTATATCACCATGGTAGAAATCAGAAAATATTCTTATACAGCATTCACCATTTATTCAAAATATGCAGATTTTTATGCCAGATATGCGCATATTCTTCATATATTTACTGATACAAGAGGGGTGGGGGGTGGACGGCCGGTTGGTTACCATGTGCGCGTTGTATTATAAGGTCTGTCATTGAGTCAGCTGATGTGGTTTCGTTTCCCCAGTTGTATGTGGCATGGAGTAGGGTTGCCTGTCCAACCTCATGGGTTTTCTCTGGGTCCTCCAGTTTCCTCCCATTGCTAAAGAGCCCTACACACAAGCAAATTATTGAAATGAAATTAAACCCTATGTTATTCACGAAATGACCTAGTTTTGTGGGATAATCATCTTTTGGCCTGATCAATTTCATCTTTCCAGGACCTCCGCAAGGAATATCAAGTAAAAGGAGAACAGGTTTCGGATACTAATCTGTTTAGTTTAGAATTGTCTTTCACAGCTTCATTTACTTTGATATTTTAGATTTTAGCATGGTCACTTTTGTTTTTTGAATTTTCTTTTCTGTACAGTTTTACATTTTATGTGATTTTTTTGTGAGCAGCTTGACTGCTTTGTCCATTAGTCACATCCAACAAGCTCTTAACTACTGGGAAGCCACTGTGGCTAAGTGAGTAAGACACTGGCCCGCTAGCCTGAAGGTCGCGTGTTTGATCCCTGCATTGGCTGAGAAAGTTCATCGGGAGTTTCTGACGTGTTTTCCCCCTTGTCAGTGGTGCAAGACAGAGGGCATGACAAGGACAGCTGTCTAGTCGTTTGGATGGGACAGAAAAACCAAGGTCCTGTGTTTACATTTGCGTACACATAAAAGATCCCTTGGCAGTAGGAATTTGATATAAGAATAGGCCGTAGGGCCACTGCCCATGCAAAATTTCCCTCATAGCACACTGTATGGCGTATGCCCGTCATCATTAGCCAAGATAGACGTTAAACCCCATTTCATTTTCATTTCTTAACATCAAAGGGCATTACCTCTTTCTTAAACCCAGAACATTTGGACGTTAAAACCCATTTCATTTCGTTTCTTAAACCCTGTATTTAATAGATTTCAGAAAATAATGCATAAAGTGTAACAGAATTTCACAGCTATTGTTTATTTGATTAATTTCTATAATAGTACGCCCAACCTGGTAGGTTTTATCCTCATCCTCTGGTTTTCTCCCACTGCTAAAGACCCCTACGCGCAAGCGGTTTATTGAAATGAAATTGAATAATGTTTTAGTCCTGACCAAAATGGCCTAGTTTGTGTCCAATGGATGTTAACCCCCCCCCTCTCTCTCTCTCTCTCCCTCTCTCTCTCTCTCTGTAGGCCTACATTAATTAGAGGGAATGACAGAGATGTTCAAACATAATGGCAAATTTCTTTTCATATAATGTAATATATAAAATACAATATTAGTTGAATTGTTTACCATTTTTTGTTCAGAGTACAAAGATTCGATCAGGTTATATGGAAGAATTTTCTGTGTCGGATACATTGATGGGTTTAGCAATAGGAACACATGGTGCCAATATACAACAAGCTCGTAAAGTAGAGGGTATTACCGGTATAGAATTAGATGAAACTTCCTGTACGTTTAAAGTTTATGGTGAGGTAAGTAATGAATACAGTTCTTTTATTATTACTTGACGAAGAATAGGGTTGGATGGCGGAATGATTAGCACATGAGTGCTGTATCATAAGGTCGATCATTGAGTCAACTGGCGTGGTTTCGATTCCCTGGTTGTACGTGACAAGGAGTAGGGTTGCCTGTCCCACCTTTGTGAGTTTTCTCTGGGTCGTCCGGTTTCCTCCCACTGCTAAAGACCCCTACACACAAGCGAATTTACCTAGTTTGTGTTGAGTGGATGTTAATCTCTCTCTCTCTCTCGCTGGAGTTTGATCAATGTTATTCTAAATATTGTAAACTACTGATACACATATAAAGTTTATTGCATAGACTGGATGGATTAAAGGGAAATAAATTGAAATATTTAATGCCAGGTAACATTTACGTTTTACAGAATGAAGAATCGGTGAAACGTGCTAGGAAAATGTTAGAATTTGCTGAAGAAACTTTTCAAGTTCCCAAAGAATTAGTTGGTAATTATACATTTCTAAAATATTTCATTAAATTAATATATACAGTCGACTCTGTCAATTCCGACATCATACGGGATCGATACAATATGGCGGATTACACAGCATGTCGGAATACTCAATTGCGTCATTACTGGAAGTATTATTGTACCTTTGTCCACCCCCTTGATCCACTCGTGCATCATTCTTTTGATGTCTTCAAACTTAGCGTTTGAGTAAAATCGTTTCTTACGACTGTTAAAGTTATCTGTAAACTTTTGTTTGAATTCATTTTTTCGCTTTAAAATGTTGGATACTGTAGTACGGCTAATTCCTTCTGTGTAGGTCGTAGAACTTTCTTAATAATCTTAGTACGACTAATTGAATACTTAACGGCTATTTCCTTCTGTGTAGTTTGTGGAACTTTCTCAAAAATCTGCTATAATGTCAAATCTGTACAGACACCCTTTGCTGAACAATCACACATTATGAATTCGCTTGAGAAACTCAAATCAAATACCAAGCACTCTATTACTAGAGATTATAAATTTGTCAAGGTAATCAACAAAGACCAACATATTTTATGCTCGCAGATAATTGATTGGTGATTGCTTGTCGGTTAACACCCACTGATTGAAGGCCAGATTATCCAATGTTAATTGAATGCAAATTCGGACTACTCAAGACGTTTTTGTTTAAAGTAATAAGAAAATAAATCGGGACATGAAAAAAATGACAGATTTCACAGAATGCCGTAGTATTCAGATGTCGGAAGTGACAGAGTCCGCTGTATATGAGATTAAGTAGTTGTGATCAGAAATATAATAATAATAATAATAATAATAAGGGTTCATATAAAGCGCTAGACTCCAAACAGTATACTGTTTGCTAAAAGCGCTAACAAAGTTTACAGGAAACAGTTAAGAATATGAACACTGAACAAGTAAGTTTTGAGGTTTTGTTTGAAGATGCTTAAAGATGGAGCAGTCGGTAGATGTAGTGGCAGAGAGTTCCATGTATGTGTGCCGCATTATTGGCAAATGATCTGCAGCCAAAAGTTTTCAGGTTATACTTTGGAACAGATAATAAACACTGATTTATTATCCGAAATATCCTGATTTATTAATAATACCAATCTGATTAAAACACAGATCCTATTTCGTTTCGTTTTTTATAGTTTTACTTGTCTTTACTACACTAGGACCTGGAAGAGTTGTTATTATTGACGTGTTCTGGATAAAGTGAGGGATTAGCCAATGAAAAAGTCTGTTACGGCGAGCTTTAGGCATGTTTTGAACGGAACTGTGGGTAATCCACTAGAAACATCAATGCTGATTGGTTAATCAAATGTCTGACATCATAGGGTCAAAAGCCGCTCATGTGACCTGTGACGCGACCTATCACTACAACCGGTCAGATCTTCATGTAGTGTAGGCCATCGATAGTATAAAAACCGTAACGAAATATAGATCTATATTTTAATCCGATTGTTATAATAATTATGTTGTATGACATCCATATGTACTTGCCTATGATCAGATTATTTTTTTATTCTGATTGGTAAAATTGATAATAATTTCTTCGTGAACAGCTAAAGTTATTGGTAAAAATGGTCGTAATATACAAGATATCGTAGACAAATCTGGTGTTGTTCGGGTCAAGATTGAAGGTGATAACGAACAGGAGGCTAATAAAGCAGACGTAAGTAGGAACTGGTCCCGAGATCACAAAGCATTCTCAGACTTAAGTTAAGAATTTACTCAACTTTCAATGCACTTTATATGAGAAATATCTTTGATCCAGAAACACAAAACTTTGTACATAGTTTCTTATTGATGTATTTGATACATTGAAACAACACAAGTTTGATAAAGGGCTATATTTTAGTTAAAATAAGGCGAACAATTTTGAGTAAATTCTTAACTTAAGTCTGAGAATGTTTTATGAACTTGGAATCTGATTTACAATGGATTTCTTTACATTTAAATCTGTTTGTGTCCGGAGTTACAATCTTAGTGCTAGTTTCAATTTATTGTAATACAAGTTCCTGTTTCTCGATGGTAAAGTAAACAAGGGGGGAAAGTTTCCCCAGGCATTCCAATTGAAGGTCCTGTGTACTGCATGATAAAGGTCTGTTGGCAGTAAAATTAAAGGAGCATTATGGGAGATAAGATAAAGAGTTGACATTTCTTGCTATAATAGTTAAAAAATAGATAATCTAAAGAGAATATGCTGAATATTTCAGTCAAATTACTCTACTGTGAACTGAGATATTAGCGATTGAATTTTAGGCCTGGTCATAACTAATGTCGGTACGATAAGAAACAATGTCTCGATTATCCATTTTGACGTTAAAACATCCATCACAAAATATATTCAAATGTAGTAAATAATGAAGGCTAGCGATGACATCGAGTTGTGGCCTGGATCAGTTAATTAATATCTAATTAATAAATTAGATAACATTTTAGGCCTAAAGAAAGACCTGAAATAGACAGATTTAGCTCTTGTATAATGTATGTTTATCTTGAACAGTTATTGGTTATAATTTCAGATATGAAAACTTTATATTTTACTTACAGGGTCAACTGCCATTTGTTTTTGTTGGAACTATAGAAAGTATTGAAAATGCCAAATTACTGCTGGATTTTAATCTTGATCATTTACGAGAAGTTGAACAATTACGTCAAGCCAAACAAGAGATTGATATACAGTTACGTAGTATGTCCGGTCCTTCAACCGGCCCTTACTTTCCACCACCTAGAGAACGCAGGTAACAACTTTAGATATTTAACAATTAGAGAGAGAAATGGGGTGTAACGTACACTCGACACAAACTAGATCATTTTGGGACTGACACATGGTTCAATTTTATTTATTTCTGTTGCACGTAGGGGCATTTAGCAGTGGGAGGAAACCGGAGGACCCTGAGAAAACCCACAAGGTTGCACAGGCGACCCTACTCCTTGTCACGTACAACCGGGGAATCGGAACCACGCCAGTAGACTCAATGACAGAACTTGTAATACAACACCCACGCTCTAACCATTCGACCATCCAACTTCCAATTAAAATTAGAGAATACATCTCCAAAATATATCATTTTAATGACGTTGAGTTGTATGAATGTTATTCATATGGTTTATAATGTACTTGAGAATCTATTACAGCTATGAAATATGATTGTGATTTAAATTCTGTATTTCTATGATATTTATAGAGGTAGCAACGACCCTTATTCAGATGAAAGAGGAGGATTAAGGCGTGGTCGAGGAAGGGGAGGAAGAGGTGGACGAGGGAGATGGAATGATAGAACAGGTAATAATGATACCAACCTATGAAATAGAAAAGATATAATATGTAAAAATAACACCATTAGCAGGAAAAGCTTATATGTAAAACAGTTGTCAGGTTCTGAGGGAAAAACGTCACTTTTAGCAATCTGATTAAAACACAGATCCTATTTCATTTCGTTTTTTTATAGTTCAAAATTTCTTTTTACTTGTCTTTATTACACTAGGATCTGAAAGAGTTGTTATATAACCCACGTTTTAGTTGAAGTGCATTCTTGGTGTGCAATGCACAGAACTGTGGGTAAACCACTAGAAACGTCAACACTAATTAATCAATGTCTGACGTCATAGAGCCAGTAGGACCGGTCAGATCTTCATGTAGTATCGAAAGTATAAAAAAACGAAACGTAATATAGATCTGTATTTGAATCAGATTGTACTTTTAGATGAGAATATCAAAGAAAGACTGATTACATTATAAATCTATAATTTACCATGGATCATTGCTTTACTTGCATTGGCTGAGAAAGTTCATCCAGATTGTCCAGTGTGGTTTCCCCTTGTCAGTGATGCCAGAGGGCTGACAAGGACAGCTGTCTAGTCATTCGGATGAGACAAAAAAACGAGGTCCCGTGTACACATTGGCGTGCACGTAAAAGATCCCTTGACAGTTGGAATTCAATATAAGAGTAGGCCGTAGTGCCGCTGTCAGAGCAAAATTTCCCTCATAGCACACTGTATGGCGTATATCTGTCTTCATTAGCCCAGCTCGGAGCAAAACAGTAGGATGTTAAACTCCATTTCATTTCCATTGCTTTATTGTGTTCATGATCTTTTATTAAAGGTGATGACACAGAACCTGTACATGTAGGTGATTGGTCAGCGGAGGTAATGGCAGAAGAAAGACGTCAATCCGGCTACTTGACTGACAGTGTGTTAAGTGGTGGTAGGGGGCGTGGCTACAGAAGAGGGCGGGGTAGAGGAAGATATAGTGGTTATTCTTCATTAAGGAGAGATTCAGGTATGGCTTTGGAGTGTAGAGATATATTTGTGCATTTAGTTAAAGGCCTGGGCCTGTTTCTCGAAATCTTAACTCAAATTTTAGTAGATGCTTCAACTTTGATTGGCTAAGCACTAAAATCAATCTAATATTATCCAATCAAATTACTAAAATTTTATCTTAGTTAAAATTTCATGAAACAAGCCCCAGTACTATTAGTTCTTTTACCCCTTAAATATGCATTATGTAACACTTAAATGTGCCAATTGCAGGTCTTAAAAAAATTATATAAACTATTATTTAGACATTTATTCAGATGACAAGCCTTTTATCAACTATCGGGGGGTTGGATGGCCGAATGGTTAGCACGTGCGTGCTGTATCATAAGGCCTGTCATTGAGTCAACTGGCGTGGTTTCAAATCCCCGGTTGTACGTGACAAGGAGTAGGGTCACCTGTCCAACCTTGTGGGTTTTCTCTGGGTCCTCCGGTTTCCTCCCACTGCTAAAGGCCCCTATGCGCAAGCGAATTATTGAAATAAAATTAAACCATTTGTTAGTCCCGAAATGACCTAGTTTGTGTCGAGTGGACGTTAAACCCCATTTCTCTCTCTCTCTCTGTTACGATAATAAACAATTTATGCTACATCTTGTCAAAACTTTAGATGGCCATAACTTTGCTCAGAATAAAGTAATTTGAATGAAGTTTTCAATATATTCATTTTGCAATATCTATTTTTAAACTATAACAAGAATGACCAGCTTTTTATCTAAATCTTACATAATGCATCTTTTAAATGAGTTCTAATATATTTATCCATAAATACAGGCATAAGCCATACAGTGTGCTATGAGGGAAATTTTGCCTGGGCAGCGGCACTATGGCCTACTCTTATATCAAATTCCAACTGCCAAGGGATCTTTTAAGTGCATGCCAAGTTATACATGGGACCTCAGATTTTCATCCCATCCGAAAGACTAGACATCCTGAACTACTGATAAGTGGAAACCACGTCGGGAAATCCTGATGAACTTTCTCGGCCAATGCGGGGATCGAACACGCGACCTCCAGGTTAGCAAGCCAGCGTCTTAACCAACTAGCCACCATGGCTCCCTGATTCTCAATGAACTCAAGGAACTTAATTTCACACTAACTATGCAATAATAGAGCTCTCCAGGTGTTATTGCATGGTTCAGCTTAACTATTGCATGATATTACAAGTAATTCATGTCATGCTTTGTTAATATATTTAAATGAGGTTTAAATGTGTTTAATTAGAAAAACATGGTATAAATATTATATAAATATTAATTATACACTACTCTGATAATTGAATTGAATTCTGTTCACATCAAAGTCAGAATATTATCTAACACTAATGGCATGCATCTTGATTAGAATGATTATTTATAACCCATTCATGTGAATATTGTATGGTAAATAGATTGAAAGTTATACTAATAACCTATAGTGAAATTGATAGTATTTATATTTCATCCTAACCTAACTCTATCCTATTCTAAATACATTTAGTCAAATTAATAAAAATACTATGGTTAAGCCAGTTAAAACTAAAAATAAAATATTACATCATATTGACTAATTAGATGTTGATTCTTTATTAGAAATTGAATACTTTCTCATTTGACTTTTTGGAAGTCATTATAATATCCATGTAATTTGGAGCTTCTTTTCAAACCAGTGCCCGAATGGTCAGCATGTGCGCCCTGTATCATAAAGCCTGTCATTGAGTCAACCGGCGTGGTTTTAAATCCCTGTTTGTACGTGACACGGAGTAGGGTCGCTTGTCCAACCTCGTGGGTTTTATCGAGGTCCTCCGGTTTCCTCCCTCTGCTAAAGATCCCTAGGCCCAAGCGAATTATTGAAATAAAATTAAAAAACTATATATTAGTCCCAAAATGACCTAGTTTGTGTCAAGTGGACATTAAACCCCATCTCTCTCTCTGTCTCTCTCTTTTCAAACAACTTACTGTTATTTGACAATGTTAATGATAATCTTTTAGAACTGGCTTACCATTACTGTTTGTATTGAAATATAGTGCATTGTTCTGTATCCCATCCCATGTATTTTATTTATACTAACAGATACAGCATGGCGTGATTCACGAGATTATCCTGCTAGAAATGGTTATATGTCAGAAAGATGTAGGTTTCATTTCATTTCTTAATCTTTCACGAAATAAAATGTTATGAAAAAATTTCTTGTCAACCATTTGGGGTCTGTCTCCAGTCTCCATTATTAGGAATTAATTGAATCTGACCACTCAAAAAACTTGGGTCATTTGGACTATACCAATTCAGTTTTATATTTAATGTCATAAAGCATATATACTATTCAAAAAAAGTAGGGGATATTTGATTTTTAAGTGTTATTAAAGTCACCTAATGAAACTGACGAAGAAACAAATGACAAAATGAAATGAAGTTCACATTCATCGATTTATTCCAAATGATCGTTAGACTAAGTAAGGCACAGACTGACCATTATAAGGGTAAAATGATACCCGGGGTCAAACAGCAAAGTTACCACAGCATCACAACCAAGTCAGTAACGGGTAAATCCTCCTCTGTTTGCCAAACAAGCATTGATCCGACGTGGCATACTCCTAATGAGACGTCTAAGGTCATTTTGGTCCAGATTGTCCCATTCCTGTTGCAACGCAGCAGCAAGTTCTTGGACATTGGCAGGACGTTGTTGACGTTGACGTAACCTCTGTCCAAGCATGTCCCAGACATGCTCGATGGGGGAGAGGTCGGGACTCAGTGCTGGCCAAGGTAATGTGGTGATGTTCTGTTGTTGGAGGTGACCTGTAACGATCCTGGCCCTGTGACATCTTGCGTTGTCATCCTGGAAGATGAAACGGCGTCCACGACGTCGTGCGAACGGCACAACATGGACTGCCAAGATGTTGTCCCGGTAGTACTGGCCTGTAACACGCCCTGCAACAACATGTAAAGCCGTTCTTCCAGCAACAATGATGCCTCCCCACACCATAACAGAACCACCCCCAAATCGATCATGTCTGATGACGTTAATGTCTTGGAAGCGCTCGTTTCGACGACGCCACACCCTCCTACGTCTGTCCAAAAAATCAACAGTGAACCTTGACTCATCTGAAAACATCACATTGCTCCAGCGTCGATTATCCCAGTGTTGACGATCCTTACACCAACAACGTCTTGCCTGAATGTGATGATCTCTCAAACAAGGGATCACGCGAGGACGTCGGGCGCGAAGGTGACCCTTATGCAGTCGATTCCGAATCGTCTGGCCACTCACTCTCACACCAGTGTCTGTTTGAAGACGAGCGCTGATCTGATTTGCTGTGATGACACGATTTCTCAAGGCCAAGGTACGGATAAATCGATCCTGGGCTTGAGTTGTCGCCCTTGGTCGACCTGAGCGTGGTCTGTCCTGTACAGATTGTGTATCACGGTATCTGGACCATAGCCTGCTTATGACAGACTGAGAAACATTCATCGCCCGCGCCAAAACCGCCTGTGTTGTGCCGATCTGTAGCATGCCAAGGGCACGTAACCTTTCATTTTGGGTAAGCCGACGTATATCAAAATTTGTTTTCTGGTCACTAAAACAATTAAACTGATGTTTCCACCCTGGAATTCAATGCCACAATGACTGTAACATTCAAAGTCAGAGTCGTGCAAATCTTGGGTTGGACCCCCATGATGATCCCAAGCATCACCTGCATTCCATGCGATAGCTATTGGTGCGTTTGGGCGTCACATGTAACTGGAAATGTTTCTTCTGTTAGGTTCTATAGTGACTTTTTTCGTAGTCATTTGCATATTTTAGTATTATGCCCCCAAAATCAAATATCCCCTACTTTTTTTGAATAGTATAGTAATACCACCTTTCATGGAAGAGTTTCTTCCCCTTGGTTCTTTATTGGAGTCCTTGGGAGTTATCTCCCTTGTGTGGAATCTTTTGTACTTGGAGAGGTTGAATGAACAAAACATGACCTATCTCACATTAGTTACTTTAGTAATGGATTCTTATCAGCTGTGGACTCTATCCGTTACTGGCTGATCCTATACACAACCAATATGAAAATAAGGATTTCCCCTGCGCGCTGTATCATAAGGCCTGTCATTGAGTCAACTGGCGTGGTTTCGAATCCCTGTTTGTACGTGACAAAAGAGTAGGGTCGCCTGTTCAACCTCGTGGGGTTTCTCCGGGTCCTCCAGTTTCCTCACACTGCTAAAGACCCCTACACACAAGCGAATTGTTGAAATAAAATTAAACAATATGTTATTCCCGAAATGACCTATTATGTGTGGAGTAGACTTTAAACACACTCTTGCCGTCTTCATTAGCCCAGGTTAGGAGCAGAACAGTAGGAGGTTAAACTCCATTTCATTTAAACACACTCTCTTCTCTCTCTCTCTTTCTCTCTCTCTCTCTCTCCATCAGGGTTCTAAGGCTATTTTGGTTCTAAGGCCATTTTGGAATGCTTACGGTCTATTTTTCACCAGGATTCTTTTTTGTTCACCAAAAGGAATCATTTCTTGCCACATCCAACCGAAGATTATAATGTACCAACTCTTTTTTTCCTGTAGAATTGTTTGATCCCAAAACACAAACAAGATTAATGAAGAATAATACTTTTTAAAAATAAAGAAAGAAAAATCTGTAATATGTTGTATATTGTAGTTAATGATGATGATGAATCTCGTGATGCTAGATCAAGACGACGTATGACAGATGATGATGATACAGTATTAGACAACGCCAGTGTCAACAGTCAAGATGGAGGTCCGTATATTGTACATGTTGCACAAAATAAAAATTGTCGGGCAATTCATGGAGAACTAATACTCGATGCATCTGCATTTGTTACGATAAATTCCTGTTTATAAGAAATATTAGATCTAACTGGATAATGATTGACATGTATCCACTATGTAGAATAAAAACTTGTAAGCAATTTAAACTAAATTGTGATAATAAACCATCTTGGATTCCACTCATCTCTGGACATTTCCATTTCACGATAGGGGGATTCTATGGTCGAATGGTTAGCGTGTGTACGTTGTATCATAAGGTATGTCATTGAGTCAACTGGTATGGTTTCGATTCCCTGGTTGTACATGACGAGGAGTAGGATCGCCTGCCCAACCTCCTGGGTTTTCTCCGGTTTCCTCCCAATCCTAAACACCCCTACACACAAACAAATTATTGAAATAAAATTGAACCATTTGTTATTCCTGAAATGACCTAGTTCGTGTTGAGTGGACGTTATACCCCATTTCACTCTCTTCTTTCATATTGTTTGCTGTTTATATTTTCAGATTATGACCGACGTCGTGATAGACCCGATAGAAGGCGGCGGCGTAGAAAAAATAGAACCCGTGGTAATGGTGGAGGGGCTTCAGGAACGGAAACTGATACAAGTGTTTCTAATTATCGTACTTCTCGCTATAGCAACCCAGCCCCTTCATATCGTGGTTCTAGAGGAGGATTACCACCATCTCACTCGACTGGTTCCATTAAAACAGATGGAATGGCCAGCAATTACTCAGCCAACCGTAACTCGACCAATGAACCAACTGCTGAACGACAGGCCAACGGGCAAGCCAATACTAAATCTGAATCTAGCCATTCACGGCAAGATCAGGGTTACACCAAACCAGATGGCAAACCTCAACGACAGCCAAGAGAGAGTCGCCACTTCAAGCAAGCAGCTAACCCAAGTGGAAGTGACTCCGATTCAAAGGCACGGCCTAAAGTTGACGGCAAGAAAGAACAGATGGTTAATGGGGAATAGATATGGTGTTCTGTCATCCAATCAGCGAGCAGTATGACCTGCTTCCTTCGCTAACCTAACACTTAAACCTGCAGTGTAAAGCAGACGAACGGAATATAAAAAAAAAAAGAGACGATAGGAAAGGTTGTCTCCGAATGTTTGTTGATTCAATAACCAGTTGTGTGATTTTTTTTAATGCGGACGCTTTTATTTCAAGACTTGAAAACTCATTTTACGACATTACTACCGATCAAAGACTCAACTAGTTTTATTACTTTCTCCTGACTCGTCAGTCAATCATCATGCATGATCAAAACGTATGACCACACGTGTAATATGTGCAGAGTTATTATCTAAATATATGGACCCACCACCCGCTTTTGAGTTTGACGTTGAAATATATATATATTTATGTGATTATATAGATAAATACTAAACAATAAGAAGAGGACTAGCAGCTGTAGTGTTTATTTATTTATTTATTTATTCAGCATGAAACAAAGTCAGTGAAGAGGCTTGTTTAATTAACGTTCGTTTAACGAACGTTCCATATTAAAGCCTTTTAAAGACTAGTGAACTGTTCTCTTAGCTAGCTGAGTAAACTAACATGGAAGTAATCTATATGCAGTGATTAGTGAGGATGCTGTTTGATTGTGATTAGTTCAGAAAAATATATATATGGAATACATTACATGTATGATCCGATCAATGGAGTATATTTCAACGGGCCAACAACAAATGTCAATCTTGTAGTCTGTATAGAGTAGAACCCATACCCTTGTTGCCTTATATAGAGTGGGGAATTGAGAATAATTGGATGTTGTAAGATGATGCGGTTGTGTTATTTTATATATTAACATGTTGATCTGTTATTGTATGATGTCGTTGATTTCAGTTTAGATACAAGTCATATTCATAGACCACAACAGTAGTTCCATGCTCAACATGGAGTCTGCTTCGTACACGGCAGTGTAAAACTCTATTACTCTTTTAATTCACCACGTCAAGGACATTTTCTTAATCCACCATGTGTAAGGCTCATTTTCCAAGTACGTGGTTTCGGCGGCAAAAAAGTCAGTCTAATGCAAATGTGATGAAACCGTTTACACTCAACCGGCTGAAATGCTGCGAAAACGCATACATGGAAAACATGTCCTTCAATGACAAAAGTTATGTTCGGCTCCAATCTCGTTCATGCAGGCCAGATTTTTACCTGGTATTAAATGTATAGGAGAGCAACTGATGTTGAAAGAGTAGATACTAACAATTTAATATGCATAATTTTCTTTTGTAATTAAACCATTTTTTTGTGTGCTTAGTTCTACATGTATGTAATTGCCCCTAATTATAAATTTTTGTTGGTGTCTGTCTCCTTTGTTTAAAGTTTGTTTCTTCTGAAAGTGCCATGAAAATGTAAATGTTAATTCTATTTTTATAACCTGTCTGATAAATTAAGTGTATTATATTTAAGGGTAAAATATCTTTGTGGTGGTTCTCAGTCAATAGAACAAATTGGTCATAGATAATTTGGTTTTCAGATTTCATTGGGTCTAAACACAATCTGATTAAAATACAGATCTATATTTCGTCTCGTTTTTCTTTATACTTTCGATGGCCTACACTACAGGAAGATCTGACCGGTTGTAGTGATAGGTCGCGTCAGCCATTGATTAATCAATCAGCATTGACGTTTCTAGGGGTTTACCAACAGTTCCGTGCAGAGCAAGCCAAGAACTCACCGTAACAGACCGTTTCATTGGCTAATTCCTCACATCAACTAGAACGCAAGTTATATAACAACTCTTCCAGATCCTAGTGTTGCAAAGACAAGTAAAATTAAAATTTTAACTATATAAAATGAATCGAAATAGGATCTGTGTTTTAATCAGAGTGGTGTAAACTATGCGTATGTCATAACTGTAATTTTATACATAAATAACTTGATAATCATATGCACATTTGGGGATCATTCTTCCGTGTTGGAAAAAAACAAAAAAAACAGTTCAGATTACCTTAAATAGACCTGGTTAACCATATCGTCGTGTAGGATTATGAATATGATCCTTACAAACTTCATTCCTGAAAGTTTTAAAAGTGTACGTGTACTCGCTAAGAAAAGTAACCCAAATTTGCATTAGTATTAAATGGCCAATTTCGATTATATTTTGGAGAATAAAACTACTTAATTTTGTGTGGAAAACCCTTAAAATCCCCTATCTTGAGGCCAAGCAACTAATTCAATATACGTGATACGTTTTCAAATAATTTAAACCTGTCAGTCTTCATCTAGAAATGGAGACCGATGTCCTAAGCTGTGGTATATGGTGTCTGGATAAACCAGACTTTTATTTTTTAAAAATAATGTGTAGATGAAATTTATCTTTTCGTTATCAAGTACAGCTGCATGTGGGTCATGCACTGTATAAACCTCTAAAAGAATGGCAATAAATTATCAGGTCACCCAACGAAAAAATTGATCCGAAAGGGTTGTGTGTTTGGATAAGCGGTTTTGACGTTCACGTGCAAACAACTCAATATTTTAAGCTGATATCTTTAGACAAGGTAAATACACCATTCCTGTATATTTTGGCGTTTAAATTTCATACGTACACAGACTTTTATTTCTGAGACTGTTAAAATCGGGATGGTCCCTAATGTTCTATTGACTGCCATCAGAAACTGATTTAATTCTACTTTCAGTTAGATAATATACATCTATGCCTGTAACATAAATCTGTCGCTCTAAAAAAAAAAAATATATTGTACATAGCTAAACCTACAAGTAACTGCCAAATTTAATTTTTGTTTCCTTCGTGATTTTAGAAAGAAAGTAGATTTATAAGCATGTATGATTGTAATTTCTATATTAGTAAAATTTTTGTTTATTTCTTTTAAGTTATTACTAATGACAAACGTACATTACATGATGTTTGTGTTTCGTAGAACATATCATTAATAACAGTTAATAAAATTAATTAAATTAAAAAGTTATGAATTAGACATATCTTCTAATACATTAGGCCATACAGAAAGCAGTATTCTGGTTTCTCAGACAATCCTTTAGAAAAGTCTGATGCAGGAATGAGTTTTTTTTTTAATTTGTGAAAGGATGCCTGGGCTGAATAAATTCTCACCAACATCATATTTCAAATTTCTATATTTATCTCATCCTTGGCTTGTTCATACTGTTAATAGTAATTCACATGTTACCTAGCTTAGATTTACTTCTGTTACTGTATGCTGAGCTGGATACAAGTTTATGCACCTAATTTCCATTGGGTCTACTCAAGTTTGCATAGATTTTCTAGTTGCTAATGTAAATATTGCACTTTCCAAAGCCAATGGAGTATAATTCCAATCATTTCCTCATCTTCATTACTACATGTAGAATGTACTTAAACAATCTTCAAGCATTAATGGGTGGTTGACATTTTCTGATAGCCACAAGTCAAGTTTATAGTTCAATACCATTTGTAATTCTCAAAAACATTTAATAGAGAAATTTCACTTTACAGCTGACAATGTGAGAATTGTTTTTGTACCGAAATTAAATAAGAGGCATGCAGCTTTTTTTATTTTAAAGTGACACTGCAGTATCTGAAAACCGGAATATTTTTTTATATATGGCCTTTTTATTAATGTTGAATATACTTGTAGCCTTTGGTACTTAAAATGAAAACAAGCAGATTAAGTTTTGTTATTTAATGTTGGGTCGAAGTCGAAGACTAAATGGTTCAATAAATAACTGTAAATAAACTGTTGAGTGTGAAGAAACGAAAAACTTATTTTATTGATTTGTTCATGCGACATCTGGGGGATGGCCGAATGGTTAGCATGTGCGCAAAATCGTAAGGTCTGTGATTGAGTCAGCTGGTGTGGTTTTTATTCCCTTTTGTACGTGACAAGGAGTAGGATCACCTATCCAACCTCGTGGGTTTTCTTCAGTTTCCTCCCACTGTTAAAGACCCCTACGTGTAAGCGGATTATTGAAATAAAATTGAACCATGTGTTAGTCCATAATTGGACTAGTTTGTGCCGAGTGGACGTTAAACCCCATTTCCCGACCAGTTATCACATCTGAGTCTGACATTCAATGTTAAATATAATGTTCACTGAAGATCTTAAGACTTTATTTACAAATGTTTTGTTTGTAGTTATTGAAAGAACCCCTTATTCAATGGAACAAGCATTCATAGACTTTCATATCTGTGGACAAAATCAACAATCAAGTAAATGCAGAGTTTGTCAGTAAATTGAGTCGTACATGTACATGTATCCATATCCCAGTTTTGCTTTGTTATTACCGGTAATATGTCATTTGATAAAAAAATTGTTATTCTGTGTGTAACATAAATAAAAGCACACTGATCAGCAGTGAATATTTGCTAGGGATGACATCGGTGTGACTTAATCACATAGGCGTAGGAGCCAGCGGGCAGCAGTCTGACTTTTCGGCAAAATAAAGTGCCCGAAATCTAATAAAACATCAATGTTACCACGAATTTGTACTGAATTGACTATGGATTAAAACATTTTGTCTGGAGTCGCTCTACTTTGTGGGACATTTTCGAACATCGAATATTATTTGTGAATGCATTTGTACAGTGTGATTCGATGGTTGGAATACAGGTCGGCATGGAGGGGGATTTCGGTTACAAAACCAATGGACAACTTTGGAGTTGCTTAACTCACAGGCTAGAATAGCAGAAAAACAGATTTGTGACGGTTACATTTTCAAAATTTTCTCCAGGAAGGCGAGGTCTCCATACGCCGTGACGATTGGTTGTTTGTTTGGGATTCGGGTCAGCCACCTAAGGTAGGCTATATTGGACCACATTGAAGTTGCTGTATTCAAGGACAGGAAAATGCGCTTGCAGCAGTTAAATTTTCAAAAATTTCTCCCGATGGTTACGTCTCTGTGAACTGTCAACGATTGAATGGTTGATTGGAATTCGAGTCAGCCACCTAAGATGAATTTTCATTACAAAATTCTTTACATGCATACATGATCGATTCAGTCTCGGGGCAGAAATTTCCAAGTCTTACAATGGGTGAGAAGAAAAATAGCCTTCCAGTTGTATTTGAAACAACGTGGTTCATCCTGGTCAGTGGTGCAGGACGGAGGGCCTGACAAGGACAGCTGTCTAGTCCTTCGGATGGGACAAAAAAACCTGAGGCCCCGTGTATACATTGGCATGCATGTAAAAGATCCCTTGGCAGTTGGAATTCGATATAAGAGTGAGCCATAGTGCCGCTGCCCGGGCAAAATTTCCCTCACAGCATACTGTATGGCGTATGCCTGTCTTCACTGGCCCAGTTAGGAGCAGACCAGTAGGACGTTAAACCCCATTTCATTTCATTTCATTGTGTAAATTGTACACTTGATTATCAGAAAGCCAGTGGCATATACACAATTACTGCTGTTTTGTCTAGACTAAATTTGATGGAATGGCTGAGATTATGATTTATTCCCAGGACTGGTATTAGCATGATTTTAATTTCTCTATTTTATAATCAAACCTGTGGCATTCATTATTACCGGCAATAGCCTATATAGTCAGTCTAAACTCTCAAGGGGGGTTGGATGGCCAAATGGTTAGCACATGCGTGCTGTGTCATAAGGCCTGTCATTGAGTCAACTGGCATGGTTTCGAATCCCCGGTTGTACGTGACAAGGAGTAGGGTCGCCTGTCCAACCTCATGGGTTTTCTCCGGGTCCTCCCACTGCTAAAGACCCCTACGCGCAAGCGAATTATTTAAATAAAATTAAATCATATGTTAGTTCCGAAATGACCTAGTTTGTGTCGAGTGGACTTAAACTCTATCTCTCTCTCTTTCTCCCTCTCTCTCTCTCTAAACTCTCAATATTTCAGTAAACTAAGAATTAAAGATACATTATGTTAGATTTAGATAAGTAGCTGACCATTCTTGCTATAATAGCTCAAAAACAGATAATGTAAAATGAAAATATTGAAAATTTCATTCAAATTACTTCATTCTGAGCCAAGTTATCACTATTTGTAATTCTGACAAGATGTGTGCATTGTGGTACATTAGAGACTTAGCCTCGCTTTCACATTTTTAAATTAAATTATCAAATGGCGCACCGTTCTAATCTAGTTAAAATGTTGAGTATCCGGTGCAATCTAGAGTTGATTATGGTCTGGATAAGTTAATTAATGTGTAATTAATGATTTATATAACATTTCAGGCCTAAAGAAAGACCCGCAATAGGCAGATTTAGCTGTTGCATAATGCATGTTTAACGTTGAAGTACTGAGTTGGGTTGAGGTACATAAGAATTCCAATGCAATGTATTAGAAATACAAAGTATGAAAAGGTAATCATTTATTTTCAGTAACAAAACAAATCTTTATAATGAAACATAACTTTTTTTTGTGTACATAACTTCCCCACATAGTGGGATTCTAACATTGTATGTGTGTAAGTAACTGCTGGTTTAGCTTTTTACAAGGCGGCCATAAAGAGGCATCATAATTTTCAACATGAAAATAAACATAATACATTTTACAGAATAACATATTCAACATGAAAATAAACATAATACATTTTACAGAATAACATATTCAACATGAAAATAAACATAATACATTTTACAGAATAACATATTCAACATGAAAATAAACATAATACATTTTACACAATAACATATTCAACATGAAAATAAACATAATACATTTTACAGAATAACATATTCAACATGAAAATAAACATAATAAATTTTACAGAATAACATATTCAACATGAAAATAAACATAATACATTTTACAGAATAACATATTCAAGATAAACCAATCTGATTAAAATATAGATCTATCTTTCATTTCAGGGGGGTTGGATGGCTGAATGGTTAGCACGTGCGCGCTGTATCATGAAGCCTGTCATTGAGTCAGCTGGCGTGGTTTCGAATCTCCGGTTGTACGTGAAAAGGAGTAGGGTCGCCTGTCCAACCTTGTGGGTTTTCTCCGGGTCCTCCGGTTTCCCCCCACTGCTAAAGACCCCTACACGCAAGCGAATTATTGAAATAAAATTGAACCATATGTTAGTCCCGAAATGACCAAGTTTGTGTCGAGTGGACGTTAAACCCCATCTCTCTCTCTCTCTCTCTCTCTCATTTCGTTTTTTTTATACTTTCGATGGCCTACACTACATGAAGATCTGACCGGTTGTAGTGGAAGGTCGCATCAGAGGTCGTACCAGCGGCTTTTGATCATATGATGTCCAACCTTGATTAATCAATCAGCGTTGACGTTTCTAGTGGTTTACCCACAGTTCCGTGCGTCGCACGCCAAGGACTCGCCATAACAGACCGTTTCATTGGCTAATTCCTCACTTCAACCAGAACAGTATTATATAACAACTCTTCCAGATCCTAGCGTAGTAAAGACAAGTAAAATGAAATTTTGAACTATAAAAAACGAAACGAAATAGGATCTGTGTTTTAAGCAGATTGAAGATTAACATTAATTCTTTTAATTTTCAAAAATTGAAACACCGCCCCTTCTTTGAGCAAACTGGCATGAGTATTTGCTTCACTCTTCGAAAAGGATTTTAAAATCATAAACTATTTCCTTGATGGATTAACTAATTTCTCTCATACCAATTGTATAGTTCAATCATACGAATTGTATAGTTCAATCATACCAATTGTATCATTCAATTATACGAATTGTATAGTTCAATCATACGAATTGTATCGTTCAATCATATGAATTGTATAGTTCAATCATACGAATTGTATAGTTCAATCATGCGAATTGTATCGTTCAATCATACCAATTGTATCGTTCAATCATACCAATTGTATAGTTCAATCATACGAATTGTATAGTTCAATCATACCAATTGTATCGTTCAATCATACCAATTGTATAGTTCAATCATACAAATTGTATAGTTCAATCATACGAATTGTATAGTTCAATTATACTAATTGTATAGTTCAATTATACTAATTGTATCGTTCTCTCATACCAATTGTATCGTTCAATTGTATCATTCAATCATACCAATTGTATCATTCAATCATACCAATTGTATCGTTCACTCATACCAATTGTATCGTTCTCTCATACCAATTGTATCGTTCAATCGTATCGTTCAATCATACCAATTGTATCGTTCAATCATGTCAAACTGAATAAAATCACATTATTTTACAATATTTATAATATAACCAAGAAATCATAAAATAAAAAAAAACCAAATTACAATTGGACCAATAAGTCTCAACAACTCGCATTGATTAAATTAGAAAGAATAAAACACGCAGTTGCCATGCAAGATATGCTACATTTTGCAAGAGATAGAAAGTGAACAAGTTAAAAAAGAAGCAATTTTTTGTACAATCAGGGGCCATAATCCAGGAAGTTACGGTCCGATATGCATGAATATCTGCAGGAACTCAACCATGTAACAATGATATATTTAAACGATTTTTCGTACAATGAGGGGCCATGATCCAGGAAGTTATGATCTAATATGCGCGAATACGACAGGAATCGAGATCTTTGGGACATAAAAATATATTTTAAGTTTTATCATAATCTGATAAAAATTGTGACTTTTAGAGGGTCCACAACCTTGGTATTACATACTTTTACACTATTTGGGTACAAGAAACGGCTATTTTCTCGAAATTTGAACTTACATGTCATTAAGATGTCACAGTGATATATTTAAAAGGTTTTTAAAATATGATAAAAATTGTGACCTCTAAAGGGTCCACATGCTAAAATCGCGATTTTTTTGTATAATCAGGGGCCATAATCCAGAAGTTGCGGTGCGATATGTGCAAATATCTAAATGAACTGAGATCTTTGGGTTATAATCATACATTTCAAGTTTCATGCATATCAGATAAAAATTGTGACCTTTAGAGTGTTCACAGTCAAAAACGTGATTTTTCGTACAATAAGGTGTCATAATCCATGAAGTTTCGATCCGATACATGCTAATACCGAAAGGAACCAAGATCTTTTGGAGATGAACCTGTATTTCAAGTTTCGTCAAACAAACAAATTGTGGACACAGGGGCGACGACAATATACATATAAAAAAACTAAGACCGGGTGGACAGTGTGCACCTGTTTTCAGTCCATTCAGTTTTCATAACCTACAACATATCGTGTCTTCTGTAGGTATTATTAAGATCATTTTTGTTGATATAGCAACCACAAACTACCCGTTTACCAGTAAAACTAGATCTACCATGTAAAACACGCCAATTATCAACAAATAATACCATACCAGGTTTTAACTTCAACCAAAATTCATTAGCCGGATTCACCAGGTTTGTTCGTAGTCTGTTATAAGCTGTGTAAAATTGCTTCATCTCATTTTGTGGAATGGTAGATAAAGGTGCTAAATCGTACATGTTGAATCTGTTTAAAATACAGAATGATAGAAGAATATTTTTTTAAAGATTTATCTCTGGCCGAAGTATTGAATTTCTGTTATGACCCTGTGTGTATGGATGGCCGAATGGTTAGCACTTGCATATTGTATAATTAGGTCTGTCATTGAGTCAACTGCCGTGGTTTCGATTCCTCGGTTGTACATGAGTAGGGGTAGGGTCATCTGTCGAACCTTGTGTTTTTTTCCGGGTCCTCCGGTTTCCTCCCACTGCAAAAGCCCCCTACACGCAAGCAAATTTTTGAAATAAAATTGAACCATATGTTAGTCCCGAAATGACCTAGTTTGTGTCGAGTGGACGTTAAACCCCATTTATCTATATCTCTCAATCTGGCATTTACAAATCAAGCCATTTTTTTTGAATTAACAAAAATCAAAATCTGATATTTAAATAAAATTTAAGTCAAATCCAGGCAGCAGCCACAAACTAACCTGATATGGGTTAACTCCCTTGAATTTGGTGAAACTGACAGGACAGGACCAAGACTACGATAATGATCTTTAGTTTTCTTATCCAGAAATTCATGAGGTACAATAGCACGGGTTAAATAATTAAAGTCCTGTTCATGGTCTTGTCTTAGTTTATGAGCAGCTTGAAAACCATCGACTAACAGAGTTTCTCCCCCTTCACCATCATGTTCTATACAATGAAATACTTGTATCCTGACCAAACAAAAATACTGATGATTATCAAATTACAAAATAAAATACACGTTATCCATCTTTGAATGTTTGAAGGCTTGAAATGATTGTCTTAAAATGTTAAAAGGATGGCTGGTGGAAAGACTGGTCATCTTCAGTTATTTTAATTCGGGAGCCATAGTGGCTAAGTGAGTAAGACTTTGGCTCCCTAACCTGGCGGTCCCGTGTTCGATCCCTGCATTGGCCGGGAAAGTACATTAGATTTTCCGCTGTGGTTCCTCCTTGTCAGTGGTGCAGGACCGATGCATGTTAAAGATCCCTTGGCAGTTGGAATTTGATATAAGAGTAGGCCGTAGTGCTGCTGTCTGGGAAAAATTTCCTTCATAAGCACACTGCATGGTGTATGCCCTTCTTCATTAGGCCAGTTGAAGCAGAACAATAGGGTGTTAAACCTCATTTCATTTCATTTCCATTTCATTTCCGACTGGCGTGGTTTCGAATCCCCGGTTGTACGTGGCAAGGAGTAGTGTCGCCTGTCCAACCTCGTGGGTTTTCTCCGGGTCCTCCGGTTTCCTCCCACTGCTAAAGACCCCTACGCGCAAGCGAATTATGTAAATAAAATTAAACCATATGTTAGTCCCGAAATGACCTAGTTTGTGTCGAGTGGACGTTAAACCCCATTTCTCTCTCTCTCTCTCCATTTCATTTCAGTTTTTTAATTAAAGGAGCTAAATCGCTAATATTTTGGGCCTAGAAATTGGCACAAATGGGTCGCAACACATATAATAATGTAATATGAATTTATATAAACTGTTTTACATTCAATTGTTTCCGTTTTACTGTGAATTGTCATCAGTTATGTTCGGCGAAATACGCCAGAAGTCTCAACCAGGTACTTAATTCCTTTATCTGATTGGTCAGCTGCACAGACGCTACACTGGAGTTGAACACAGCGTACTAATATGGGCAAGAAGGAGAATGCGTGTTCAAATTTCTAACGGATGGGGTTGCCATATTTGGATTACCAGACTATGATGTCATTGCCCGATTTTAGTCTACCAGACATATCCTTGTTAGCCTAGTTCACATTGTCACTGGTACTAGCTAACGACTTTAATACATTAAACAGAACATCTTTTAGAGAACTTAAATAACCTCTACAGTATATATATAGGCCCTATAGTATTACATTATGTGTAGGTGGCCTGACAAGCTTTTATCTAGTTTGGACTTACCCAGCTGGACATGTTAAATATATTGTATCCGTATGGCAACTAATATCAACATTACTATACTATAAGCAGTATATAGGCTGTATTTACTTACCCAGGTGGACATGTTAAATATGATGTATCTGTATGACAACCTAGACCAACATTACTATAAGCAGTATATAGGCCGTATTTACTTACCCAGCTGGACATGTTAAATATGATGTATCTGTATGGCAACCTAGACCAACATTACTATAAGCAGTATATAGGCCGTATTTACTTACCCAGCTGGACATGTTAAATATGATGTATCCGTATGACAACCTAGACCAACATTACTATAAGCAGTATATAGGCTGTATTTACTTACCCAGCTGGACATGTTAAATATGATGTATCCGTATGACAACCTAGACCAACATTACTATAAGCAGTATCAGCTCTCTCTAAGTCGGCGGTAAAACTCCATACACGACCAAAACAAGTTTCCATAATATTAGCCACACGTTCAGAAACTTTTCCTGTATCTTCAATAGTAGCAGGTGCCTTCAAAAACAATATATCAATAATCAAATTTAATTTATGATTACATAAAATCCATAATTTAATTTAATTTTAACTTATTTGCTCACAGTATCACCATTTGGGTAAAAAAATTTAAAATGATTCTTGCTGGTGACCTAGTTTAATATTAGGTCAGGTCAACTGAACAAAAGACTGTTGTGTGTTTGTCTTGTTCATGTTTTTTTTTTATTCTTAGCGGTGTAAACCTTGTCTCCACAGTGTAAACCTTTTCTATGCGGTATAAAGATTTCTCCGCGGTGTAAACCTTTTCTCTGCGATATAAAGTTTCATAAAGTTTTCTTCACAGTGTAAACCTTTTCTCCGCGGTGTAAACCTTTTCTCCGCGGTGTAAACCTTTTCTCTGCAGTGTAAACTTTTTCTCCACGGTATAAAGATTTCTCCGCGGTATAAAGATTTCTCCGCGGTGTAAACCATTTCTCTGCGGTGTAAACCTTTTCTCCATGGTATAAACCTTTTCTCCGCGGTATAAAGTTTTCTCCACGGTGTAAACCTTTTCTCTGCGGTAAAAAGTTTTCTCCACGGTGTAAACCTTTTCTCTGCGGTATAAAGTTTTCTCCACGGTATAAACCTTTTCTCTGTGATATAAAGTTTTCTCCGCGGTGTAAACCTTTTCTCTGCGGTGTAAACCTTTTCTCTGCGGTGTAAACCTTTTCTCCATGGTGTAAACCTTTTTTCTGCCTTATAAAGTTTTCTCCGCAGTGTAAACCTTTTCTCTGCCATGTAAACCTTTTCTCCATGGTATAAACCTTTTCTCCGCAGTATAAACCTTTTCTCCACTGTGTAAACCTTTTCTCTGCAGTATAAAGTTTACTCCGCGGTGTAAACCTTTTCTCTGCGGTATAAAGTTTTCTCCGCTGTGTAAACCTTTTCTCTGTGGTATAAACCTTCCCTCCACGGTATAAAGTTTTCTCTGCGGTGTAAACCTTCCCTCCACGATATAAAGTTTTCTCTGCGGTATAAAGTTTACTTCGCGGTGTAAACCTTTTCTCTGCAGTGTAAACCTTTTCTCCACGGTATAAAAAAATTTCCGCAGTGTAAACCTTTTCTCCACGGTATAAAGTTTTCTCCGCGGTGTAAACCTTTTCTCCACGGTATAAAGTTTTCTCCGCGCTGTCAACCTTTTCTCCGTGGTATAAAGTTTACTCCATGGTTTTCCGCGGTTAGAACCTTTTCTCTGATTTTAAACCGTTTCTCTGCAGAGATTTGATTTATACCTTTTCTCCACGGTATAAAGTTTTCTACATGGTGTAAACCTTTTCTCTGTGGTATAAAGTTTTCTCCACGGTGTAAACCTCTACCCCGGTGTAAACCTTTTCTCTGTGGTATAATGTTTTCTCCGCGGTGTAAACCTCTACCCCGGTGTAAACCTTTTCTCTGTGGTATAAAGTTTTCTCCGCGGTGTAAACCTCTACCCCGGTGTAAACCTTTTCTCTGTGGTATAAAGTTTTCTCCGCGGTGTAAACCTCTACCCCGGTGTAAACCTTTTCTCTGTGGTATAAAGTTTTCTCCGCGGTGTAAACCTCTACCCCGGTGTAAACCTTTTCTCTGTGGTATAAAGTTTTCTCCGCGGTGTAAACCTCTACCCCGGTGTAAATCTTTTCTCCGCAGTCTAAAGTTTTCTACATGGTGTAAATCTTTACTCTGTGGTATAAAGTTTTCTCCGCGGTGTAAACCTCTACCCCGGTGTAAATCTTTTCTCCGCAGCGATTAGGTTTACACCGGAGAGAAAACTTTACACCGCGGAGATTATAAAACAAATAACATGGTTATTTACCCCTTGAACAATTGTAAAACCATACTTTAACAAGTAATATAGGGACTGTTTTAACCCTTCTTCTGTTTTCATGTGATCTTCATAATCAACTACTGGTCGATCTTCAGATCTCATCTTTTCTCCAGTCCAAAAAAACTGTTTTATTCGTTGTTTACTTTCTGTTGAAAATGAATTTTCTTTTAACCAGGAAATGTCATATCTTGTAATATGATTATCTTTCCCTAGAAAATAATATAATAAATAATAAATCCAGATATTGAAAGTGCAGGGAAAGTTTGCCAGCAGCCCTGTTAAACATGCATTATGTAAGAGCTAAATCTGCCTATTACAGGTCTTTCTTTAGGCCTTAAACGTTATATAAACTATTAATCAGACATTTCTTAACATGAAAAGACCATAATCAACTCTTGATGCCATTTTATGTGTCGAATTTTCACTGGATTTGTATCCAATTTGCAGCTTAACGCTCATTGATGATTTAATCCAAAAATGGATAATCGAGACTATGTTTTTAGTAATGATGACCAAGGCTAGGCCTAAAATTCAAACATTAATATCTTGGTTTCGAGTGGAGCAATTCGACTGAAATTTTCAGCATATTCCCTTTACATCTAGGTTTTAACTATTGTAGTGAGAACTGGCAGTTCTTTATCTAATCTTCCATAATGACTCTTTAAATTATCAGTGCCTTTTACTAGTTTTAACAACAGCTGTTTTTACAGTCTATAGACCATTTCTTTTAAATCTTAAACAATTACAATCTGTGAAAAAGTAGAGCCTACAAGGGCAATAACTGTATGCTTCTTCCTTATAATTAAATTAGTGCTGGGTATTGCCACTGCAGTCACGATACGATGTGTATTGTGAATCAGGCACTATGATACGATTCATATCACGATTCAATAACCAGGTCAATTTTACCAAGAAAGCAACAGGATAAATGAATAATTGATATGTTTAGTCCTGCTGATGTCGAAGAAATAAAACTGTTTTATATCACGATATTAATGTGGATCAAAATAAAGACCAAAATAAATTAATGTGTGACATGGATAATTAGGTGTGAAGTGACAAAAAAAAAATTAAAAAAAAAGAATTGCGATACATCGATTCAGCATCCCGTGATGAAGTTTTGAGAATGTGAATTAAATACAGCACCAAATAAAGCCATAATACTTTGGTGGGCCTCATTTATTACAGCAATCAGCGAAGCAACGGGCGCAACAGGTGCAATCATTCTACCTGCTTAAAAGTAAAAAAGATAAACTTTACTTTGATCTAGACCTACAAGTTATTTTCAATTCCTGTCCATCACTTTCTAATTCTACATTTTCTGGAGTAATAGATGTGGATTGTGAACTGGATGGGTCTATCAAGAAATTCTTTTGATTAGTCACATGGTTGTAGCAGACTTCACAACGACAATGATCTCGCAACCATAACCATGACAACTGTAAATTGTTGCTTTTAAACTCTAAATAATCTCTTTTTATCTGTAAGTCTGATTTTACTTGATTTTCTGTTGATATGTAACGACATAATGAAACTTGATTCCTTAAAGACCGACTATTCGCTCTCAAATTTCTATTTGACCAAGGTCGAGATACTGTGTTCAATTGTCTGGAAATTTGACAATTAAATATCTGACTCTGTCTTATGGTAATAGAGTAAAAAACACGTCTATTCAGTAAAAGGCGACAAGTGGTACTTCCCATCACTGATCTCATTTCTTCTCTATTGGTTGATTTGAGTATTTGTCTGGACAGGTGATTTCTTATTTACTTCTGAAATATGAAAGAACAAATTTTAGTTTTACTATTAGACCTCTAATCCAAACTAGGTCAAGGTCACGTGGCTAAGTGGGTAAGACGCTGGCTCGCTAGCCTGGAGGTCGGGTGTTCGATCCCTGCATTGGCCAAGAAAGTTCATCCAGATTTTCCTGCGTGGTTCCCCCTTGTCAGTGATGCAGGACGGAGGGCCTGACAAGGACAGCTGTCTAGTCGTTCGGATGGGACAAAAAACTGAGGTCCCGTGTACACATTGGTGTGTACGTAAAAGATCCCTTGACAGTTGGAATTCGATAAAAGAGTAGGCTGTAGTGCCGCTGTCCGGGCAAAATTTCCCTCATAGCACACTGTATGGCGTATATATATGCCCTTCTTAATTAGGCCAGTTCGGAGCAGAACAGTAGGACATTAAACCCCATTTCATTTCATTTCATTTCCAAACTAGGTCTACCTTCATCAAGTTACTGGAGATAGGCCCGCAGAAATACGTGCGCTGAATATTATCATTTTGTCTTTCCAGGATCTTAAATTGTATGTAGGTCTAGACTAGGCACGAATGGATTTGTGGGCCTTCTAAAATTAGACCTATATTGGCTATCTATGCTGCTTAAAGGGAAATAATGCTAACATTCTATTTTATAATTCCAATGAAGGACCCAATTATTAAATTTTCTTAAAAATAAAAGTAGGTCCATCTTACCCAAAATACAAAATAACAAATTATTTACAAAAACCAGGCAATAAGAAGAGCAATATATTATGATCAATTCCCAGTGAGATTTTGATGGCCAATGTCCAAACATTTATCGGTACCGGTACTATAAATCCTGTAGATCTGTTTACCGGGTCCCTGTGGATTCATCTCGGTTGGTACCGGTATTTCTGTTTATTATTGCATGTTGCAAAACAACATTTAGTTTATCGGAATTTCCACAGTGTCATAATCAAATTTTCATCTCTAGTTCAGTGAATACAGGCAAATGTGTACTTGTAATCTCTTGCATAATGACTGACTCGCTAATAAATCAATACTAAAGGGAGACTACCACGTTCTGGCCATATTATTATTATATATGCATAGAAATGAAATAAACTGAGGTTTAGCATCAATATTTTCATAGAGATCAACTTACTTAAAATTGCATTTGGAAAGAATCATGGTTTGCTCAAATTTTCCATTTTTATACGAACAAATTATATTAGAGCATTGCTGACCTGACCTGGGGTTAAAGAATCATTTATACTTCCAGGAGTTCCTTCTAGTTCTATCATATTTATATGACCCTATCCTGGATGGCGGGTGTTCGATCCATGCATTGGCCGAGAAAGTTCATCCAGATTTTCCGGCGTGGATCCCCTTTATCAGTGGTGAAAGACTGTAAGCGGCCTGACAAGGACAGCTGTATATAGTCCTTCGGATGGGACTAAAAAACGAGGTCCCGTGTACACATTGCACGTAAAAAAATCCCTTGACAGTTGGAATTCGATATAGCCTAAGTGTAGGCCGCAGTGCCGCTGTCCGGGCAAAATTTCCCACATAGCACACTGTATGGCGTATGCCCGTTTTCATTAGCCCAGTTCGGAGCAGAACAGTAGGATGTTAAACTCCATTTCATTTCATTTTATATGGCCCTATGTGTAGCCCCTTTTTCACAAATTGGCGTAATTATTGTCAATATCGTAATTTTCTCAAAATCAGGCCTGAATAATATTTTCAACGATCGATTACGTTAGAATATCCATAACCCTGGAAGCCGTTTTGCGTATCAATCAATGGTTCAAAAGTTTTTATACATTTCAGTGTCCCAAAATTATACAGTTTGAAGATATGCGCTTATGTCCGATATTCCATTTAACGAAATGAAATGGGGTTTAACGTCCTACTGTTCTGCTCCTATACTGGGCTAATGAAGACGGGCGTACGCCATACAGTGTGCTATGAGGGAAATTTTGCCCGGGCAGCGGCACTATCGCCTACTCTTATATCGAATTCCAACTGCCAAGGTCAATTTAACGAATTAATAATCGAATTATTAAATAATCTAAATGGGGGCCGGTTTTATCCCGCGTTTTTAACATGAAAATATTTCTTGTATTTTCAACACAAAAAGTTTAGACATTAAATTAATAGCTTTATTTTATTGATTAATACAAATCCACGCTAAGTCAGGGGCGTGGTGACCCATGATTTTATATGAATAACAAGATCCCGTCTGCCCCCAAAAAAGACAAAAATCAAAACAGTATTTATATATGTGTGTGCAAAGGAGGGGGAGGGGTGGGAAGGGTCCCTCCCAGGGCCGCCGAGTAATACTGAGCTGTGTCGAACATACTAGAGTCGATTTGGAGCATAAATATAGTACCCACGGTACACTTGTTGAAATGAAATTAAATGGAGTTTAACGTCCTACTGTTCTGCTCCGAACTGGGCTAATACAGACGGGCATACGCCATACAGTGTGCTATAGAGGAAATTTTGCCCGGACAGCGGGACTACGGCCTACTCTTATATCGAATTCCATCTGTCAAGGGATCTTTTAAGTGCACGCCAATGTGTACACGGGACCTCGGTTTTTTTCGTTCCATCCGAACGACTAGACAGCTGTCCTTGTCAAGTCCTCCGCCCTGCATCACTGACAAGGATGAACTTTCTCGGCCAATGCAGGGATCGAACACCCGACCTCCAGACTAGCGAGCCAGCGTCTTACCCACTTAGCCACCGTGATCCCCGACACATGTTGAGCATTATGATTATAATCATAATGTCGAAAACCGCATTGGAACCGCATGAATTTTAGCCATTAGTGAGGATGGGTGTGTGTTTTGGCGGGTGGGGGCTCGTCATTGCGTCCGTCTCACTGAGCCCCTGCAACCCCTGATATTTATCATTGTTAAAATAGTTGATATTGTTGTAACATTGATGAATTGATATTACATGGATAAATTAAATTAAACATACATTATACAAGAGCTAAATCCGTATATTGCAAGTCTTTCTTTAGGCCTGAAATATTATAATATAATCTATTAATCAGACATTAATTAACTTATCCAGACCATAATCAACTCTAGATGGCATCTTATGTGTCGGTTTTCCACTGGATTTGAATCCGATTTGCTGTTTAACGAACATTGATGATTTAATCCAAAAATAGATAATCAGACTTTGTTTTTTTTTTTATCGTACCGACTCTAGTAATGATGATCGAAGCTAGGCCTAACATTCAATCGCTAATATCTCAGTTCAGGGTGGCGCAATTTGACTGAAATTTTCAGCATATTCCCTTTACAATATCTAGTTTTAAACTATTATAGTGAGAAATGCCAGCTCTTCTATAATAACTCGTGCTTATAAACTATATGTAAATACAATAAATATTTGACTATATATGCTAAATGTTTTGTGTTGCCATCAAGATATTATATTTTATTATTCTATTCCCTGGGAGAAGCTTCATAATTTCTGTAAATTGTCCTGATCGGGATCCCATTGTAAATTATTTGCAATAAATCACGATGTCATCCCTCTCAACGATATATCGGCCAAATGAATATTTAGGCCATATCAGTTTATGAAAACATACGCGATAAAGCTCAAGTGTCAATGAGAAATGCAAAAATGGGACAAATTTGGCCAGGGGTGTGATAAAGCAGAAAATAAATATATATATTTAAAAAGGAATAACACAACTGGTTTTCTTTTTTTTTCACAACTAAAGTCAAATAATTCCCAAACTATAGCCGTCCCAGATATATATATATATATATATATATATATATATAGAGAGAGAGAGAGAGAGAGAGAGAGAGAGAGAGAGAGAGAGAGAAATGGGGTTTAACGTCCACTCGACACAGACTATGTCATTTCGGGACTAACATATGGTTTAATTTTATTTCAATAATTCATTTGCGCGTAGGGGTCTTTAGCAGTGGGAGGAAACCCACGAGGTTGGACAGGCGACCCTATACTCCTGGTCACGTACAACCGGGGATTCGAAACCACGTCAGTTACTCAATGACAGGCCCCATGATATGCGTGCTAACCATTCGGCCATCCACCCCCAACCCACCCCTGTCCTAGCCTAGATATAAATAACTTATTTGCGTGAATGAAACTGTGTGGAAAACGCCAACAAACCTTTCTCCTAGTCCTGAACAACTACTATGTGAAGTGTCCGTGATACTTTTTCACTGAAAAATAAACTTTCAGTTTCCTTGTGTGGTGATATAACTTATAATATACTGTCAATACTAAACTTAGGCTGTGTGTCTACAATTAATTCCGCTTGACAACAGACACTAAGCTAGTTGACCGACATTTTATGTCCTAAATCGACGACTGTCGAGAATTTTGAGAAGTAGGGCCACATAGCTACGAGTACGAGAACGTGACTAAAAACGTTGAGATATACTGATGTGCTTGTTTTTACGGAGGGTTGAGAGATGAGGTTTGTCATCTAAGGGCCACATTACAAAAAAGGTATACTAGATATGGCCGCCATATAGGGCTGAGATCTATTCTCTGAGTATGAAAAAGATGGATCCCTGTGTGAAGAATGATATCCTATCCTGGTCACATGTTGAATCCCTGGATAATCATCTAAGTCGCTATTAGCATGTCACGCATACAATCGAATGATATACATAATTTTTAAATAGAGAGCTACGTAACCCTATTAGGGAGCTATTGTGATCGTGTCCGAATGGCTCAATATTTTGAACGAAAACCCCAGACAAGAGATTTCGGACTATTTATCTACATTTGGACGTTTGCTTTCGATAATTGTAACCAACTTTTATTTCGGAGCCATTGTTGAAACTATGACTTCACATATAAAGTTTGTAGAAATGAATGAAGACGCGCATACGCCATACAGTGTGCTATGAGGGGAAATTATATCGAATTCCAACTGCCAAGGGACCTCTTACGTGCATGCCAATGTATACACGAGACCTCTGTTTTTCGTCCCACCCGAATGACTAAACAGCTGTACTTGTCAGACCCTCCGTCCTGCCCCACTGACAAGAGGGAACCACGTGGGAAAATCCCGATTAACTTTCTCTTCCAATGCAGGGATCGAACCCACGACTTCCAGGCTAGCGAGCCAGCGTCTTACCCACTTAGCCACAGTGGCTTCCTTGCGATCCCTGCATTTGCCGTGAAAGTTCATCCGGATTTTCCGACGTGCTTTCCCCTTGTCAGTGGTGCAGAACGGAGGGCCTGACAAGGACAGCTGTCTAGTCCTTCGGATGATACGAAAAACCGAGGTCCTGTGTATACATTGGAATGCACGTAAAAGATCCCTTGGCAGTTGGAATTCGATATAAGAGTAGGCGATAGTGCCGCTGCCCGGGCAAGATTTCCCTCATAGCACACTGTATGGCGTATGCCCGTCTTCATTAGCCCAGGTTAGGAGCAGAACAGTAGGACGTTAAACCCCATTTCATTTCATTTCCTTACTGGATAGAGTAATAAACTATGACTTATACTTAATTACTAATAAATTGGTACCTGTTTCCCATAAGTATGTTTTATAGTTTATTGTAAACTGTTTACTTACCTACTTGGTGTTAGATTTAGATGACCAGGAATATGTTAGAATTTAATAATAATAGAATTGTCAATTTCCATTATTAGATCATCGATATCATTTTTTACATGGCGCAATATATAAAACCAGAAATATTATGCAGAGCGTCCCGTGAAAGCATTTTAAAAATAGTTTATTGTAATGGTTTTATTACTTATACAGAGACTTTCTTCTATATTTATTTTAACAGTCTATTTGTTGCATTTTTTCCAATGTTAAGTGAGATTGCTATTGTTACACTGTATTAAACAGCCATGTCCTTAATATTTTGTGATGCGGCTGGATTGTTTCCATCTCGGAAGTTCTAGTCAGTCTCTCCTCCCGTGGATTTCACAGTCTTTGGCGGCGTATACTGTACCCCATCTTTATCAACAAAATATGTATTTACCTATTCATAATAATAATTCAAAATGTGGTGGCCTATTTTTGTAATCTAGTCTATTTTTATTGTATTGTTGTTATTACGTTATATTATATTTTCCTGTTATTTATTGATAATAAATGGCCTATTCAATTTCATATCGCCTACTGTCATATTTTGTCTACTAGGACGCTCAATGGGGACTAAATTGTCAGTCGTCATGACGTCACGGTAAAAGTATTTTTTCAAACTTGTTGGGGCCGTTCGGCTAATTGTAAAGAGGAAACATCAAATTCGCTTAAAGATTTTATGAAGAGTTTGGACAGTTATTATTCGATTTTCAATATTTTTATAATTTTGGAAACCATTCACAATATACAATAGATCACTGAATTAAGAATTTTGATATTTGACCTAGATTTTTTTTAAAGCGAAGTGATAATACAAAATTCCTTTTTTAAATACGGAAAAATTTGAAATCGGGTCAAATATTGGTGCCAAACTATTCATTTGGTCATAATTTGTTGCTCCTTTTGAAATTTTTATTAAAATCGGTTGGTAAATATGGGTTATGTGCAACTTTTAAAAAATTAAAAGGGAGATTATGACACCGCACCACTAATATCAGGCTATAGTTGTTTTAGGCCAAAATATATAATATTTGTTTTTACAAATATCTAACAAAACACGTGGGAATAAAACCCAGGGACATATTTCTTCTGTGCAACTTTTAAAAAATTAAATGGGAGATTATGGCACCGCACCACTAATATCAGGCTATAGTTGTTTTAGGCCAAAATATATAATATTTGTTTTTACAAATATCTAACAAAACACGTGGGAATAAAACCCAGGGACATATTTCTCCTTTAATTGATTGATTAAAAAAAATGAACAAGAACTTACCGTTTATACTAAATAACAAAATATGCACGCTAAGTCCAGATTTGCCGTCTAATTAAAATACAAACCGTACTGATCTCTGGGTTTTTAATTCGGATTTAATGCATTTTATAAAAGTGTTGTTCCCTATCTCACTTATCTCACATAAAACAAATCGACATTTTTTTTACATGTTGCCTTCTAGTCATTTATAAGCTCATATGTTATCTTTTTAACATGGCGCAATATGTAGGCCTTGAACCCGAAATATTATGCAGGGCGTCTCGTGAAAGCCTAAATTGAAATGCAGTACATATGTTATCTTGCTATTTGATCCACCGTAGATCTTATGTAACTAGAGTGGGATATGTATATGCATACTCGTTGTTGAATGGGCTTTTTGTGATAGCTTGTTCAAATATATGACTACACTAATTTCTACCTTACAAAAGTACACGGGCTTTAACTGAATACAGGTAAGCTATCATCTTTAATAGAAGGCTTGATCTCATTTTACTCCGTACATCTAGATTATATTGGTTCTTTACCTTTTTATGTGTTGTATCCCTTGAGCTTTCATAATATTGCCGCTGTCTGAAATAACTTATGGAAATAAATGTAATTATAATAATTGATATGGAATACAATGTTAGTTTATTTACACAATGCGTTGACTACATACAAATAAATAGGTTTTCAAGTATACCCGTACTTACACAGTAGACCGATGGTGGTCTGCATCCATTTAGTTAAGGATTATGTCCCTTGTCTGGATTTTCTCTGTCAAGAAATTACATAGAGACGTGTATATCAAATAATATGTTTATGTTTATTTATCGACGTTCTTTGAAGAAAAATGGTGAATTTTAGATGAGAATTATTATTCCCGTTTTGACAGTTAGTCCTTATTTATTACTGTATCAATAGACGCCATTAACTGGTTATTTCCAGTTCGACATTGAAAACACGAATTATTTTGCAATTTAAATCAGCATTGGTGTTGTGATCTTACCTGGAAAAGATGGGCTTCTGATATCCAATATTTAAGACAAAATAAACATTTTACCATTGGTACACGAATCGTGTACCATAATGCGTTTCAGCGCCATTTGTAATAGGTATGACAACAAAAAATTAAAAAATCCCGTATGGCTTTAATTCTGTTATTTCTGGATAGGGCTGTCCAACAGATTTACAATGACACCAAAATGAGCTTGAAAGGCCCTATATTAATGGAGTTACGCCAAATTAATTTTCGCTAATTAACGCTCTTTTTGTCTGAAGAACAAAGAAGGAAAAGTGAGGCCATCGTGCGCAGTTGCTAGCGGTAAAATTTCTCTAACTTTCTGGCATGGCGGTCACGGCGAAACTGGATCAAAAATTTTCCGCACTACATATTTGGGCTCCGCACCTACCGATTTCATTGAAAACTCACACAATTAAAGTTTAATATATGTATTTTCTAATTTATATATTTTGAACCCTATGGTTTTCTGGTATCCGCCCCAAAAATCGTGTTGTTTTCTACTTTCATTTTCATGTTTAGATTTCTCTGCACACGGAGCAGCTAGAGTAAAAATTCGAAAACGAGGCGAAAAGCTAGCCTTTTATTCACGAAAATAACCTCATTTGAAGCCGCAGTTTCGTACCAATCAACAATACGACGAAGAAGAAAAGCCGATACGCAAATCGCGCTGGCGTATCTGAAGCGTGACTTGCGACGACGAAATTACGTCAGCGGTTCACCGCTTCACTGGCGTACCTATTTGTAACAAGGTGCTCAAAGAATGATGCTAGACATATTCCACAAGTCATGTCAAACGGTGATCATATTCTTATTTGGAGAGCATGCGCAATAAATAATATCGGTGTTGACTGGAATAACCAGACGCTAGAAACTGACTTGCGGTTGAGACTTCTGGTGTATTTCGCCGAACATAACTGATGACAATTCACAGTATATCGGACACGATTGAATGTAAAACAGTGTATATAAATTCATATTACATTACTATATGTGTTGTAACTCATTTGTGCCAATTTCTAGGTCCAAAATATTAGCGATTTAGCTCCTTTAAATTGTGACACTTTGTTTTTGGATCGCATCATGCCAGAAATGTCATGTCTAGGCAAGGATCTTATGACTTGCGTATTATACGGTCCATGGTCTAGGCGTGTAGGGGTCTTTAGCAGTGGTAGGAAACCCGAGGACCCAGAGAAAATCCACGAGGTTGGACAGGCGACCCTACTCCTTGTCACGTACAACCGGGGAATCGAAACCGCACCAGTTGACTGAATGACAGACATTATGTATGATACAACTCGCACATACTAAACATTCGTCCATTCAACGACCAACCCCCCAATGGTTTTAGCAACCTGTTAATGAGATATCATTAAATTATAAAGATTCTATGTGTGTACTATTTTTATTTATAGAATAGAAATTAATATGTGATACAAGATGGCTAGGCCTAAAGATAAAGCTTTGCTGAGTGAAGCATTTGAACAACGATGTCAGAGAGAAAAAGAGAAATTAAAAGTCAATCTAGGAAAAGTTCTGCAAGAAGATATTCTGAGGTTTGTAAAGGTTAATGAAACAGAAAGACATGTTCTATAAGGTCTGTAATTGAGTCAGCTGGTGTGGTTTCAAGTCATCAGTTGTACATGACAAGGAGTAGGGTTGCCTGTCCAACCTCATTGGTTTTCTCCAGGTCCTCATTTTTCTCCCACTGCTAAAGACCCCTACGTCCAAGCAAATTGGGGGGTTGGATGGCTGAATGGTTAGCGTGCGCGCGCTGTATCATAAAGTCTGTCATTGAGTCAACTGGCGTGGTTTCGAATCCCCGGTTGTACGTGACAAGGAGTAGGGTCGCCTGTCCAACCTCGTGGGTTTTCTCTGGGTCCTCCGGTTTCCTCCCACTGCTAAAGACCCCTACGCGCAAGCGAATTAATGAAATAAAATTAACCATATGTTAGTCCCGAAATGACCTAGTTTGTGTTGAGTGGACGTTCAACCCCATTTCTCTCTCTCTCTCTCCAAGCAAATTATTGAAACAAAATTGAACCATTGTCACGTACAACCAGGGGTTCGAAACCCCGCCAGCTGACTCAATGACAGACCTTATGATACAGCCCGCAGGTGCTAACCATTCAGCCATCCCCCCCCCCCCCCCCTATTACAACTATCATAATAACCCTAGTTATACACAAATCTTACAAGATGTAATTCAACACCCTTCCAAACAACTTCATTATAAAACTTTAGGCCTACCATCAGTAAATATTTCTAACTGGCTAATAGGCATTCATTAGAACTGTGCATATAAGGCAAATGATGAGTAGTGCCATTAGTTTCTAGTTTCTGAAATCTGCCGAGTGCTGAATAAATATTTTATCTTGTATGATCAGCTTAATTTTATTTTTACCTAAATCAAGTTTTTCCTGCTGCTCGAAAATAAACTTAATTACTTTTTAATAGATTATATTAATTGAGTTGCATATGTCTTAAATTTACCAGGGGTCACAGTGGCTAAGTTGGTAAGACGCTGGCTCGCTTGTCTGGAGGTCGGGTGTTCGATCCATGCATTTGCCGAGATTGTTCATCCAGATTTTCCGGTGTGGTTCCCCCCTTGTCAGTGATGCAGGAAGGAGGGCCTGACAAGGACAGCTGTCTAGTCCTTTGGATGGGATGAAAACCGAGATCCTGTGTATACATTGGCATGCACGTAAAAGATCCCTTGACAGTTGGGATTTGATATAAGAGTAGGCCGTAGTGCCGCTGTCCAGGCAAAATTTCCCTCATAGCACACTGTATGACGTATTCCCACCTTCATTAGCCCAGTTCGGAGCAGAACAGTAGGACGTTAAACCCCATTTCATTTCATTTCCTAAATTTCATGATTACAGACTTCTAACAGAAGAACTACATATGGATACGTCAGTTACAGATGGTCATCAGACGGCAGCAGCTCATAGATTTATACTATCGGCAAGGTTGGTTTTTATACGTCCACAATTTCTTGTCTCCACAGACTACATTTATCATCTGATTGCTTTGAAATTGATATGTATTGTTTAGATTAGTAAAGTGAAGAATCCTATTTAGTTTCAATAATTTCTGTTAATTTCTTCGGGAGTTATGGCCCTTGTTTCAATTTGTTGAACCACATGAAGACAAAAGTATGTATGTATGATATTTATCTGCATCATTTATATTGGTGAAACGAAGAAGCTTATTGAATTTCACTCGAGTTACATCACTTGTTTCACTATGTTGAACCTTATGAACACTCGACTGACGAAAGTTATCCTTTGATCTGTATGAAATTTATATGCATCATTTAAATTAGTAAAACAAAGAATCTTATTGAACTTAAGCAATTTCCGTTAATTTCTGCTGGAGTTATCTTCCTTGTTTCACTTTGTTGCACCTTGTGAATTCTCTAACGACAAGAATTATCATCTGATCTGTATGAAATTTATTTGCATTGTATGTTTCGTAGCCTGGCAACCTATCTTTATACCTGTAATCTTACCTTTAAATCTAATTACCTACCTCTTCGTATTTGGATTTCAACAATAAGTCATAGTAGTTAAGTGTTCAGGATAACAAACTCTTATTGTGAGGGGTGGCATCATTCAGGCTTACAAGTAAAGTCTGCCATCTTCTTGAGTTTTATATTCAATAATTGTTTGTGAATTATGTCTTACAGGGCTAGCAGTTTATTTAATGGTGTAAAGGAAAAAATAAATGAAGATTCCATGACAACTTTCACCATTCCACACAATAATATTTTTCATCTCAAAGATTTTATCAAGTACGTAAAATTTACAGCACGTCTGTCTGTAAAATATTACCTGACTTTTAATGGGTAGTAAAAAAACACTTCATAATTTGTAATGTCCCTACACTGAACTTTAATGTTGCTACATTGAACTTTAATGTCCCTACATTGAACTTTAATGTCCCCACACTGAACTTTAATGTCACTACACTGAACTTTAATTTCCCTACACTGAACTTTAATGCTACAACCTGAACTTTAATGCCACTACACCTAACTTTAATGCCACTACACTGAACTTTAATGCCACTACACTGAATTTTAATGTTACTACACTGAACTTAAATGTCCCTGCATTGAACTTTAATTTCCCCACGTTGAACTTTAATGTTACTACACTGAACTTAAATATCCCTATTCTGAACTTTAATGTCACCACACTGAACTTTAATGCTACTACCTGAACTTTAATGCCCCCACACTGAACTTTAATGCCACTACACTGAATTTTATTGCCCCCACACTGAACTTTAATGTCACTACATTGAACTTTAATGTCACTACATTGCACTTTAATGTCACTACACTGAATTTTAATATCCCTACACTGAACTTTAATGTCCCTACACTGAACTTTAATCCCTACACTGAACTTTAATATCCCTACACTGAACTTTAATGTCACTACACTGAACTTTAATGTCCCTATACTGAACTTTAATGCCCCTACACTGAACATTAATATCACTACACTGAACTTTAATGTCACGACACTGAATTTTAGTGTCCCTACACTGGACTTTAATGCCCCTATTCTGAACTTTAATGTCCCTACACTGAACTTTAATGTCCCTATACTGAACTTTAATGTCCCTACACTGAACTTTAATGTCCCTATACTGAACTTTAATGTTACTGCACTGAACTTTCATATTCCAACACTGAACTTAAAGGTCCCTACACTGAACTTAAATATTCTTACTCTGAACTTTAATGCCCCTACACTGATCTTTAATGTCACTACACTGAATTTTAATGTCCCTATACTGAACTTTAATGTCCCTACACTGATCTTTAATGTCTCTACACTGAACTTTAATGCCCCTACACTGAACTTTAATGTTCCTACACAGAACTTTAATGTCACTACACTGAACTTAAATGTCACTGGTTCTAATCCTTTTCAAGTCTAGTTTCTAATTGTCAGGGCTCCACCTGTGTAAAATTTAAAATACAGGTAAGCAGAAATGCTGCTGACCATGTTATACATTTTACAGTGTAATAGTCTCCTACATATTGTGCTGTTAAGACATTATTTCACCTTAGTGCACCTACCGTGCATCAATAGAATATTGTCTTTATTCTCTCTTACTTTTGGATAGGGTAAGTGACCATTTTACTGTTGGATGGCCGAATGGTTAGCATGTGCGCTCTGTATCAAAAGGTCTTGTCATTGAGTCAACTGGCGTGGTTTTGAATCCCCGGTTGTACATGAGTTTTCTTCAGGTCCTCCAGTTTCCTCCCACTGCTAAAGACCCCTATGCGCAATTGAATTATTGAAATAAAATTGAACTATGTGTTAGTCCCCAAATTACCTATTTTTTGTCAAGTGGATGTTAAACTCTCTCTCTCTCTCTCTCTCTCTCTCTCTCATTTTACTGTTAATAGATCCATCTGGGCTCTGTGACAGATGATTGATAGCTCAATACTGATTTTTATTATTTGATTGCCTTTTGTACAGTTGTTACATTTAAAGGAAAAGACAAAGATTGAATTTAAAGCTTTTACGTAATATATAGTATTTCACGTAATATATAGTATTTAGATGTGGTAGTGATTGGAACAGTCCAACCATGCTGGAAACGAAATGAATTAAAGTTCTACTTTTATTTATGCAACATCCAGTTTATAGAAGACAGACATACATCATGCAGTATGCGTCAAGGGAAATTTTTACCGCTTATTTCTATGAATTCTACTGGGTTCTTTTATGTGCGGGGGTGGGGGTGGCCGTATGGTTAGCATGTGTGTGCTGTGTCATACAGTCTGTCATTGAGTCACCTGACTTGGTTTCGATTACCCCCGTTGTACTTGACAAGGAGTAAGGTCACCTGTCCAGCCTCGTGGGTTTTATCTGGATCCTCCTGTTTCCTCCCTCTGCTTAAGAACCCTACGCACAAGCGAATTATTGAAATTAAATTAAACCATGTGTTAGTCCCGAAATGACCTAGTTTGTGTCGAGCGGAGGTTAAACCCCATTTCTCTCTATCTCATTTTTATGTGCATGTCCGTGTGTGTATAAAGAATCTTGGTTTCTCACCCAAAAATTGAGGTTATGTTTTTTTTTTCTTTTTCAGACAATTATACTATACAGAGAATGTCGATAGTTTATTAGACGAATATTCTCAGGGTTTTGTTAAGAGACAAAACGGTGATAAAATCTGTGATGCAATGCTTAATAACCTGGACGATCTAAATCATAATTCTAGTGATTTGACAAAAGACAATAGAGACAGGTCCTCATGTAGCTACGAAACTAACACTGGAAATTATGAATCAAATAATGGGGAAGTAACTCTTAGTGATGTTAAAGTTCAAATGAAACAGGTGGACAGTGTAGTTGAGAAAAGAAACGAAGATGATTCGCATGAACAGATCTGTGAAAATGATTTAAATGAGAAAGAAAATGTCACTCCATCCGAGAGTGGCTCGACAGACAATAATACATTATCAAATTTGATAAAAATGTCGTATAATTTAGCTCTACCTCATGTATGTTGTAGTTGTCTAGGACAAGATCTTCTTCGTGCTTTCTTACAGGAGAAATGTACTGACTGTTCTTTGATTGTTGCTGGACAACAATTTAAAACACATCGGTAAGTATGCATGTGACAATTTCTCCCATTGCTAAAGACCCATATTCACAAGCGAATTATTGAAATAAGGATTTCAAGTGTTTAGGATACTGGACTCTTATTGTCAGAGATTGCATCATTGGAGCTTACAAGTAAACAGGTGTTGGATGGCCGAATGGTTAGCATGTGCGCATGGTATCATAAGATCTGTCATTGAGTGAACTGGCGTGGTTTTGATTCCCCGGTTGTACATGATAAGGAGAAGGGTCGTCTGTCCAACCTCGTGGGTTTGGTCCGGGTCCTCCCACTACTAAAGACCCCTACGCGCAAGCGAATTATTGAAATAAAATTGAACCGTATGTTAGTTGTCGAGTGGACATTAAACTTCATTTCTCTCGCTCTTGATTGCTGATTTAGTCCTGAAATGACCAAGTATTGAGTAGATGTGAAACCCAATTGACCTGGTTGGTACAGATCAGTAGGACATTAAATCCCCTTTCATTTCTGTTAAAGTAGCTAAGTCTCTTAACTCAATATCATCCAAATTCCTCATCTTTGAAAACACATATTGTTTGTCAATTTAAATCAACATTGCTGTTGTTATCTTACCAGGAAAAGATGAGCTTCTGATATCCAATATTTAAGACAAAATAAACATTTTACCATTGGTACACAATTCGTGTACCATAATGCGTTTCAGTGCCATTTGTAACAAGGGAATAGAAGAACGAGGCTAGACATATTCCACATGTCATGTCAAACAGTGATGCCATATTCTTATCTGGAGAGCATGCGCAATAAATACTATCGGTGTAGACAGGAATAACCAGGCGCTAGAGATTGCCATTTAATTGAAACTTCTGGCGTATTTCGTCGAACATAACTGATTAAAATTTACAGTAAAAACGGAAACGATTGAATGTAAATCAGTGTATATACATTCATATTACATTATTATGTGCTTTGTGACCCATTAGTGTCAATTTCTAGGTCTCAAATATTAGTGATATAGCTCCTTTAACTGTGCCATTTTGGGCCATAAAATCTTTCTAAAGGTTGCGGGGGGTTGGATGGCTGAATGGTTAGCACGCGCACGCTGTATCATACGGTCTGTCATTGAGTCAACTGGCAGGGTTTCGATACCCCGGTTGTACGTGACAAGGAGTAGGGTCGCCTGTCCAACCTCGTGGGTTTTCTCCGGGTCCTCCGGTTTCCTCCCACTGCTAAAGTCCCCTACGCGCAAGCGAATTATTGAAATAAAAAAAAATTAAACCATATGGTAGTCCCGAAATGACCTAGTTTGTTTTGAGTGGACATTAAACCCCATCTCTCTCTCTCTCTCTCTCTCTCTTGGTTGCAGGTATTTACTCTTAGAAAGGAGTTTTACGAATTATTTAACCAGCTCAAGGAATATACATTTGAAGTGAGTATTGGTAAATTTACAAAACATGCTGTTGTATTTTTTAGATGTATATTAGCAGCAAGAAGTGAATATTTTGAAGCTATGTTAGGAGGACAGTGGAGAGAAAGTGACAGAAATGATATAGAATTAGAGGGGTAAATATTACGTTTTATTTATAAATTATAAATGTGCTAATACACCCTTAACCACAAAAATGATATTGAATTAGAGGGGTAAATATTAGGTTTTATTTATAAATGTTCTAATTTACCCCAAACTACAAAAATGATATAGAATTAGAGGGGTAAATATTATTTGTCCCCCGCCTTTCGAAGAAAGCAGGGGACTATTAAAATGGGTTCGTCCGTCTGTCTGTCCGTCTGTCTGTCCGTCTGTCTGTCCGTCACACTTTTTGGGACACAATAACTCTCTTCCTAATTGAGCTAGAATGTTCAAACTTGGTGTATGTGTTTATTAGGTCAATGCCTTGATGGAGTTCGAAGATGAGCATTTTCCGCTTAGGGTAAGCAGAGATAAGCAATTTGATTGGTTGATGCTTTAGGACACGATAACTCTCTTCCTAATTGGGCTAGAATGTTCAAACTTGGTGTATGTGTTGATTAGGTCAATGCCTTGATGGAGTTCGAAGATGAACATTTTCCGCTTAGGGTAAGCAGAGATAAGCAATTTGATTGGTTGATGCTTTGGGACACGATAACTTTTAATTGAGCTAGAATGTTCAAACTTGGTGTATGTGTTTATTAGGTCAATGCCTTGATGGAGTTCGAAGATGAGCATTTTCCGCTTAGGGTAAGCAGAGATAAGCAATTTGATTGGTTGATACTTTGGGGCACGATAACTCTCTTCCTAATTGAGCTAGAATGTTCAAACTTGGTGTATGTGTTGATTAGGTCAATGCCTTGATGGAGTTCGAAGATGAGCATTTTCCGCTTAGGGTAAGCAGAGATAAGCAATTTGATTGGTTGATGCTTTGGGACACGATAACTCTAGTTCTAATTAAGTGAGATTGATGAAACTTGGTGTATAGTTTCATTACAGTAATACCTTGACTAAGTTTGATAATGAGCATTTTCTGCTCAGGGTAAGCAGCAATTTGATTGGTTGATACTTTGGGGCACGATAACTCTCTTCCTAATTGAGCTAGAATGTTCAAACTTGGTGTATGTGTTGATTAGGTCAATGCCTTGATGGAGTTCGAAGATGAGCATTTTCCGCTTAGGGTAAGCAGAGATAAGCAATTTGATTGGTTGATGCTTTGGGACACGATAACTTTAGTTCTAATTAAGTGAGATTGATGAAACTTGGTGTATAGTTTCATTACAGTAATACCTTGACTAAGTTTGATAATGAGAATTTTCTGTTTTCGGTAAGCATAGCGATACGCAATTTGATTGGTCAAGACTTTGGAAAACAATAACTCTCCTACTTTGATTGTTAGACTATAAGTAAAGATATACTGTTTGATTGTTCAATACTTTGTAAAAGATAATTTGTGATAAATTTATATGTGTCCTCTAATTATTTTCCTATTTCGGCGGGGGACATCAGCCTCACTGTTGGCTTGTGTTTTGATTATAAATGTTCTAATATACCCCCAACTACAAAAATGATATAGAAATAGAGGGGTAAATATTATGTTTTGATTATAAATGTTCTAATATACCCCCAACTACAAAAATGATATAGAATTAGAGGGGTAAATATTATGTTTTGATTATAAATTATAAATATTCTAATATATCCCCAATCACAAACAGATTTGTTTAACTTGGTGTAATTTACTTTGTTGTGATTGTTTGGTTAGAAGTAACAAAATAGCTAGCTGAAGGCAGAATGAGGAGTGATGAGTTATTGCCCCTGATACTGAAATCTTGTACACTTTCCGCCTGAGGTCAGGTATTTTGGGCTATTTATTGTAGAAATAGAAAACTATGCAAGATGAAACATAGCACTATTACCCAGTAGAGTATATAAATGGGCATTAACTCTGTCCTAGAGCCGTATTATATTTTTAAGTGGTGTACTATGTTTATATGTGTATTTGATAGTCCAGGAGCTATGTTATGTTTAGATGTGTATTAGATAGTGTAAGTCTAGGGACTATATTATGTTTAGATGTGTATTTGATAGTGTAAGTCTAGGGACTATATTATGTTTAGATGTCTATTAGATAGTGTAAGTCTAGGAGCTATGTTATGTTTATATGTGTTTTTGATTGCATAAGTCCAGGAGCTATATGTGATTTGTATGTGCATTTGATAGTCTAAGTCCAGGAGCTGTATTATGGTTAAGTGTGTATTTAATAGTGTATGGTTGGGAGCTATATTATGGTTTTATGGGGGTTTTTTTTTAGTGTAAGTCCAGGAGCTATATGTGTGTTTAATAGCGTAAGTCCAGGAGCTATATTATATTTAAATGTGTATTTGATAGTATAAGTCTAGGAGCTATATTATCTTTATATGTGTATTTAATAGTGTAAGTCTAGGTGCTATATTATGTTTAGATGTGTATTTGTTTGTGTAAGTCCAGGAGCTATATTATGTTTATATGTGCATTTGATAGTGTGAGTCTAGGAGCTATATTATCTATAGATGTGTATTTGATAGTCCAGGAGCTATACTATGTTTAAATGTGTATTTGATAGTGTAAGTCTAGGAGCTATAGTATGTTTATACGTGTATTTGATAGTGTAAGTCCTGGAGCTATATTATTTTTAAATGTGTATTTAATAGTGTAAGTCTAGGAGCTATAATATGTATAGATGTGTATTTGATAGTGTAAGTCCACGAACTGTATTATGTTTATATGTGTATTTAATAGTGTAAGTCCAGGAGCTGTAGAACAAGCATTATTATATCTATATGGTGGAGTAACAGATATAATAGAAACGTGTAATATACCTGATTTATTACTAGTTGGTGATATGTATGGAATGATAGGACTTAAAGAGGTGGCATCATACCAGATTAAAAAGGATTTCTGCCATTTTTTCCACAAGGTAAATAGAAGAATAATATTATATACGGTGGACTCTTGTCAATTCCGACATCGTACGGGATCAATACAATATGCCCGATTATACAGCATGTCGGAATACTCGATTTCCTCAATACCGGAAGTATTATTGTACCTTCGAATACCGGAAGTATTATTATAATGCACCCTAGAATACAATGAACTTAAAATATTATAACGCTTTCTGTTATAATGATAGTGATTCTTCGTTTGTTCGCTCGTTCCTGGAATTTTAACATCCACTTCCACCAAGGTTGATATTGTAGACAATTTGATCCTTCATGTCGCTGTATTTGAGGTGAGAAACTCAAATCAAATACCAAGCACTCTTTTACAAGAGATTATAAAATTATCAAGGTAATCAGCAAAGACTGACATATTTTATGCTCACAGATAATTGATTGGTGATTGCTTGTTGGTGAACACCCACTGATTGAAGGCTGGATTATGCAATGTTAATTGTACGCAAATCGTGTAATGCCTTAATTCAGAAAATATTCAGAATCCAAACTACTCAAAACTTTTTTGGTTGTAAGGAAATAAATCGGGAGATGAAAATGATGATGGATTTCACAGAATGCCGTAGTATTTAGATGTCGGAAGTGACAGATTCTACTGTATATTTACACATCTTTAGGGGTTTGATAAATATGAATAGGTTATTCAATGGCTGTATTCAATGATATTTGCTTGTATTTGCATGTATTTATAAATATAAAAATAATATTGTGGACAAGCTCTTCCTCATTGTGAGTGTAGTCGTGATTTAAAGGCTGTAACTTGTCTGGACACACTTTGAATGATGTAATTAGGCTAAAATATCATATTATTAACAACAGTCAGTGTACTGAAATCAAATGGGATTTTCATTTAATGTCCTGTTTTCCTGCTTCATAAGGGCTAATGATTGAAATTTTGCCCCGGACAGTGGCACTACGGCCTACTCTTAATTCAAATTCCAACTGTAATTGGTTCATTTGTGTGCACTCCCAACTTGGTAATGATGATCGAGGCTAGGCCTGCTAGGCCTAAAATTCAATCGCTAATACTTCGTTTCAGAGTGGAGCAATTTGACTGAAATGTTCAGCATATTCCTTTTACATTATCTAGTTTTTAACTATCATAGTGGGAACTGTCAGCTCTTTATCTTATCTTCCGTAATTAATCTTTAACTTTATTAAATTTGATGTTTCAGCCATGTTCAGCATGCTTATCATCAGCTGGAGATGCCTTGACCTTAGCTGTGACATATGACCTTCACGATATGAAAGAACGATGTGTTAAATGGATCAACAAGTATTTTACTAAATTCTGGTCATCAAGAACTTTTGCTGCTCAACATGAAGAAATTCTACACATCTGTTGTAATAACTTGATCTCGCAAATAGTAAATACAATTTTTATATGCCTACATTTTCATGTGGATGTATATTGTCGTCTCCCCTGTCCGTCTGTCCACAATTTGTTTGTAGACACTCTACAGGTCACAATTCTTATCCGATTTTGATGAAACTTGACATATAGGTTTATCTCCATATGATCTCGGTTCTTTTCGATATGGGGGGTTGGATGGCTGAATGGTTAGCGTGCGCGCGCTGTATCATAAAGTCTGTCATTGAGTCGACTGGCGTGGTTTCGAATCCCCGGTTGTACGTGGCAAGGAGTAGGGTTGCCTGTCCAACCTCGTGGGTTTTCTCCGGGGCCTCCGGTTTCCTCCCACTGCTAAAGACCCCTACGCGCAAGTGAATTATGTAAATAAAAAATTAAACCATATGTTAGTCTCGAAATGACCAAGTTTGTGTCGAGTGGACGTTAAACCCCATTTCTCTCTCTCTCTCTCTCTTTTCGATATTGGCATTTATCGGATCGAAACTTCATGGATTATGGCTCCTGATTGTGGACATGCTTGTAGACATGCTAGAGGGCACAATTTTTATCCAATTTTGATAAAACTTAAAATATATCTTTATATCCCAAATATAGCTGGTTCTCTATCCATCTCTTGCAAAATGTTGGCGTATCATGCCTGACAACCGCTGGTATTTGTACAAGTACAAGTATTCAATACAATAATTAAAACAATAAGGCAGAGTAAGTAGTAAGGATGATATTTGTTCAAATTATGAATGGGTAAAGAAAGAAATTGAGACTTTACTACATGTAAATGTTGGAATTCAATGTACATAATTAACAATTTACTTGATTAGATTCATATTATTTAAAAAACTATGTTGTATATTTATTTCTTGAATTTTTGTGGGGTTTGGATGGCCGAATGGTTAGCACGTGCGTGCTGTATCATAAGGCCTGCCATTGAGTCAACTGGCGTGGTTTTGAATCCCCAGTTGTACGTGACAAGGAGTAGGGTCGTCTGACCAACCTCGTGGGTTTTCTCTGGGTTCTCCGGTTTCCTCCCACTGCTAAAGACCCCTACATGCAAGTGAATTATTGAAATAAAATTTAGAAAAACCCATATGTTAGTCACGAAATGACCTAGTTAGTGTCGAGTGGACGTTAAACCCCATTTCTCTCTCTCTCTCTCTTGTCAATCATGATTTTAGGTGATTATTTAATTAATTTTAAAACTATTTTGTTTTCAGTCTGAACAGAATGTTGTTGATATTATAATGGATACCCATAAGTTGAGCGGTAATTTACCATCTGTTAAATGGGCTGAACCTATACTGTATCTAATCTCACAGTTAAACCATGCCACCAAATCTTTTATATCACAAAATTTTGTTTCGGTGATGAGCAGTAAACAGTTCCTGTGTTGGGAGAAGGTACATTGTATAAACATATCTTAAACCATAATTAGAAAACTAAATCTTTAAACTTAATATCATCCAAAGTCTTCGACATTGAAAACACAAATTATTTGTCAATTTAAATATTTTAAATCAACAGTGATGTTGTAATCTTACTGGGAAAAGATGGGCTTCTGATAGACTGGAATAACGAGGCCTCGAGTTCACAAAACATTCTCAGACTTAAGTTATGAATTTACTCAAAATTGTTCGCATTATATTAACTAATATATAACCCTTTATAAAACTTGTGTTGTTTCAACGTATCAAATACATCAATAAGAAACTATGTGCAAAGTTTTGTGTTTCTGGAACCAAGATATTTCTCATAAACAGTGATTGAAAGTTATGTCTGAGAATGGTTTGTGAACCTGGGGCCAGATGCTCGAGATTGTCATTCGATTTAGACTTGTGGCGTATTTCACCGAACATAACTGACTTGAAATTAGATTAAAAATTGAAACCATTGAATCTAAATCAGTTTGTATACATTCATATTACATTATTATATGTGTTGAGATCCATTTGTGTCAATTTCTAGGCCCCAAATATTAGCGATTTAGCTTCTTTAATGTTTATTTATAGCCCAATGGTAAATGCTTACACAACATTATACCAAATCCTTTCCTATGAAGTGGGGGGGGGGGGTGCGGGTGGGGGTGATGGTCGAATGGTTAGCGCATGCACGTTGTATCATAAGGTCTGTCATTGAATCAACCGACGTGGTTTCGATTCCCCAGTTGTACGTGACAAGGAGTGGGGTCGCCTGTCCAACCTTGTAGGTGTTCTCCGGGTCCTCTGGTTTTCTCCCACTGCTAAAGACCCCTACGTGCAAGCGAATTATTGAAATAAAGTTGAACCATATGTTAGTCCCGATTTCCGAAATGATCTAGTTTCTGTCGAGTGGATTTCTCTCTCTCTCTCTTTATTGTAATCTATATGGTTGAACCTTTTATTCCTGTATTGTTTCGATATTCCATGGTGTATATTTCAGGGTGCCGCGTGGAATGCCAGTGTACTAGAAGATATATTTGGTAGTGTTATAGAAACTGTTAGTCCATCTAATGGTTGTAAAATATATCAGAAATTATTGGATCTAGAGAAATATTTTGCTTTAATAGAATATTCTATAAACAATGAGGTGAGAACAGTTTTAAATGACCTTAAATGAAATGAAATAAAATGGGGTTTAACGTCCTACTATTCTGCTCCGAACTGGGCTAATGAAGACGGGCATATACCATACAGTGTGCTGTGAGGGAAATTTTGCCCAGGCAGTGATACTAAGACATCCTCTTATATCCAATTCCAACTGTAAAGGGACCTTTTACGTGCATGCCTATGTGTACACGGGACCTTGGTTTTTCGCCCCATCCCAGGAACTAGATAGCTGTCCTTGTCGGGCCCTCCGTCCTGCGTCACTGACAAGGGGGAACCACGCCGGAAAATCTGGATGAACTTTCTCGGCCAATGCAGGGATCGAGCATTAGACCTCCAGGCTAGCGAGCAAAATAAGACTATTGGTCACTGGCTTCCATTTTAATTAAAGGACAATATTGGTGTTTGTTACACATCTACCATAGTAGTGATCTCTGTGTTACTATTATATTTGGAATGTATTTAACCAGTTCTGTCTCATAATTATGTAATAATGGCTGACACCAATATTGTCCTTTAAAATTGCAAATATGATTATTTGAACAGAATAACTTCTTCAGTTTACTCTTTAAAATTGTTGAACCGGCAGACTGCATCAGGGGCGTGGTGATCCATGATTTTGCGTGGCCCCCCCCCCCCCAAAAAAAAAACAATATTTATATGTGTGTGTGTTGGGGGAGGGGGTGGGGTGGTAGTCCCTCGCAGTGCCACCGAGTAATATTGGGCTGTGTGGAACATGCTAGACTTGATTTGTAGCATATCTGACCCACGGTATGTTTGATACTTGTTACGCATTATGATTATGATTATAATGTTGAAAACCACATTGAAACCACATGATTTTTTGCCATTTATGAGGGGCACAAAAATTCAAGGGGCCACAAAAACTCAAAACCATGGCACAAAGCTTGTCATTGTGTCCCTTTCACTTAGCTCCTGGACTGCATGTTGGCATCAAGCTTGAACAGTGGCACTTTTGGGCTTGTTTGCTTGAAAGCTTTGCATCCAATACAGAGCCTTTTCGACAATGCTGCAATGTCCTTAAATTTTTTATTTAGAATTTTTTTTAGTAACAGTTGCCCTTGCTTGAATTCAGATGTTTATATTTATCTGTCTTTGAAGTTAAAAATGAAAAAAAAAGGAATTTGTGCATAGAATCTCATTCAATAAAAGTGAAAATTAATGTCTGGGTTTTTTTTGCAGGATATTGCAGCTTTCATCAAGTATTTAATAAAGAAATGTGAAACATTTTTACGTATTAATATTCATCAAGTAACTTTGACAGAAGATTGGTCCAATCTATCAGAGGATATAAGAACTAAGATACTAAGTTGTAAGTTATTTTATACATTAAATCGAGGTATATACTTCGACTAGCCTGGAAATGAAATGAAATGGGGTTTAACGTCTTACGACTGGGCTAATGAAGACGGGCATACGCCATACACACAGTGTGCTATGTGGGAAATTTTGCTCAGACAGCGGTACTATGGCCTACTCTTATATCGAATTCCAACTGTCAAGGTATCTTTTACGTGCACGCCAATGTGTACACGGGAACTCTGTTTTTCGTCCCATCTGAACAACTAGACAGCTGTAGACATTTTCTGATGGATAGCGAAAAATGATTAATGTATTGATAATACTGATGGCCTAATCCAACCAATCAGTTGGTGATTAACCTCACTTAGGCTCTTTTTAAATATGACAAACCGAAAATCAAAAGAACCCAGTAAATGATTTGTTAAACATACATTATGCAAGAGCTAAATCTGCCTATTGCAGGTCTTTCTTTAGGCCTGAAATGTTATCTTAATTATTAATTAGACATTAATTAACTTATCCAAACCATAATCAAATCTTGATGGCATCGGATACTCGAGATTTTAACTAGATTAGAACGGTTCGCCATTTAAAAATGGGAAAGCGAGGCTAAGTCTCGAATATGCCAGTGCCCTTGTTACCACTGTGCACACATTTTGTCAAAACTACAAACAGTGATAACTTGACTTAGAACGAAGTAATTTGAATGAAATTTTCAATATTTTTATTTTACATTATCTGTTTTTTAGCTATTATAGCAAGAATGGTCGGCTCTTTATCTAAATCTTACATAATGTATGTTTAATATTTTATTATTTTAGGTGCTTCATATGTTTGTATAGATTATAATAAAATGAAGAAAGCACCACCAAAACTCAACACTAACAGAAAGGTATGTATTATTCCGTTAAAAATAAATTGTTGTTGTCTTGTTTTGTTTAGTGAGATGACAATCTGTTTATGTTTATTTATAGATAAAGATAGTTGTGCGATATATTCCATTTATGTTCCACTGTCGACACGGCAGTAAGCTAAAATTGGAACAAAATTAGTATAAAAATATATAAACTTTCGCTTAAAGATACTTTCCCCACATACAAACTGTGTGATTTGATGATATATTTGGACTAAAAACATATTTAAACTAATTAATCTATCAAAAATTTGCTTCAAATCTCTCTCAAAACTTTGTATTCGTCGGGAGATACCTCAAGCTATAAATGAACTGCTGTTAGATGCTATGTCTGTCACCTCAATTCCTTGATGGAGGGTCAATTTTTTAGAATGTATTTTTCATTACTTTTATCATACATACATGTATTGAGGCCTAAGTAAATTCTTAATTATTTTGGGGGGTTGGATGGTTGAATGGTTAGCGTGCGTGCGCTGTATCATAAAGTCTGTCATTGAGTCGACTGGCGTGGTTTTGAATCCCCGGTTGTACGTGACAAGGAGTAGGGTCGCCTGTCTAACCTCGTGGGTTTTCTCTGGGTCCTCCGGTTTCCTCCCACTGCTAAAGACCCCTATGCGCAAGCGAATTATTGAAATAAAATTAAACCATATGTTAGTCCCGAAATGACCTAGTTTGTGTCGAGTGGACGTTAAACCCCATCTCTCTCTCTCTCTTAATTACCTTCTGTCAACTTCTTTTTCTGCCGTTTAATTGTGCATCGACACCCCTCAATGTTCCCAAACCAAGAAATAATAGCCTCTCTCTCTCTCTATCAAGCTAGCAGACAATAAGCTAGCAGACAACAGTGTATATCCTTTAATTAGACCACCTCTATATTATAATACTGGAAATAGAAAAGAGAATATTATTCATTGTCAATTAAGAAATAAAGCTAGTAACTTAAATAATCACTTATTCCACCATTTTCTGAGTGAAACAAAAGTGTGCCCTAACTGTAATTCTACAGACGAAGATAATTACCATTACTTTTACATATGTCCAGCCTTCTCTGCCACAAGAACATTTCTCCAAAATAATATACACCAGCTTAAACTAAATGTTACAATAGATCTTATTTTATATGGCAACACCGATCTTTCAGATGATACCAATTCTAAAATATTTGTAATAGTGCAAAAATTTATAAAAGGTAGCAAGCGGTTTTGAAGTTTTAATTATTAAAGCTATGTCTACATTATGTAATACTTTTCTATTTTCATAACCTTAAATGTAATTATAATGTATATCTAAACATTGCACTCCAAGAAATGTAAATATGTTTGTAACTCACTACTTATACATATGTCTACCATTGTTTACTGTAAACATAAGATATAACTATTTTATGTGTTTGGAGAGAACTTATATAGGCCTTTGCCTGTTGTTCAATCCATTTCAGTTTATTGAATAAAATATTGTTTAAACTAGTCGGGTTGCCGGTAGTAAGATTGGGTGTCTATACTTTCCATATATACCAAATTTGGCCATACTTACATTGGAAATAGCCTCTGGATATATAATTTTGGGACAATTATCTTTTATCTTTCGAAGTAAAATTTTGTAGGATTCAGATTGATCTATCACTGATCGAAATGACACATCAGATCAACTCAATTCTTACCTAAATCAAAAGCTGCTTAGCTCTTGTAATAAATTGAAGATTTATCAAGGTTTCTATTCTTTCAAACCACAGTCTATGATTGCAAGTGGGAGTAGGGGTTGGATGGCCGAATGGTTAGCATGTGCGCGCTGTATCACAAGGTCTGTCATTGAGTCAACTGGTGTGGTTTCAATTCCCCGGTTGTATGTGACAAGAAGTAGGGTCGCCTGTCAAACCTCGTGGGTTTTCTTCAGGTCCTCCAGTTTTCTCCCACAGCTAAAGACCCCTACGCGCAAGCGAATTATTGAAATAAAATTGATCCATATGTTAGTCCCAAAATGACCTGGTTTGTTTCGAGTGAATGTTAAACCCCATAACAATATAAATCATTATTTAATATTTCAGATAAAGGTAGCCAGTACACAGAAAATTAAAAAATCATCCACGGTTAAACCATTAACAAGACAGTTATCAGAGAATCCACAAACAGCAACTAAATCTGATACCCTCTTGACTAGACAAACTTCAACACCTTCTGCAAGACCTCCATCTAGAGGTAGACCTGTTGAAAAAGCAGCAACTAAAACCACGAAGAATCCAAAGTGTGAAACTTCATCTATGCAACCACAAAGGGATGTCAAGACAAACATTAAAACCAAAAAACAATCTGAGCAAAAACAAGAGGACGGAGCCACGTCAGATCTCCACCAGAGGACTCATGAGGTGCAATATCTTGGAGCTTCCAGCATCCCAAAGCGACAGTTGAGTTGGTCTCCAGACCCTGAGGGTTCCATCAGTCCTATTAGTGTCAGTCCACGATCAGACTCCAGGATACCCATACATCGTACAAGTAGTTTGAGTCCCAGAGGAAAGATTGACTCGAGGAGTTTGGAAAATTTGCTAGGTGAACATAGATCGCAAGCATCATGTGGATTTTGTCCTGCGGTGGAAGAATCATTAGCAGGTGCTGAAACAAATGAGGAATCATTAGCAGCCAAATCAAGAATAATTGATTCAGTATCTATTCAGAATTCCTGTAAATTATCAGTGGCTTTCGATCGCAATCAATCAAAACAATCCATAACCATGGAGCAAACATCTACAGCATGTACTAAGGCAGCAGAAAATGTAGATCCTGTCCAATTCCTGCGTCTGAAGACTTTAGGCAGAAATATAGACAAGGAAAGGAGATGGTCATCACCCCCTATGGTGTTCAGCCAACCAAATCTGAATGAAGGACTCCTGGATGGAAGAAGTTCTGTTAGCAGTGAGGACCTAAGTCCTCGACTACTTCCGTTATTTTCGGTAGAATTTCACAAACCTGAACATGTTACAGATGTACTTTACTTTTGATGCATTCACCTAGCTATTTAATATTTTTACTTTTTTATTCAAAACTTAAAATATGCATCACACATTTTTATCTTTTGTTATGGAAATAACATGGTCAACTTTCAGTCTATTACAGAAAGACAGAAGACTAAAGGTGGCCATGTTTTTCCTAACATTAAAGTTATCATTTATTATTCAGACTGCTCATTTGAGGGATTTTGAAGCCTAGCAAACTACCGTATTGTGAAAGTTCAGCCTCAGTTGGTTCAAACTGTTCAGTATTCTGCTTCCTGGGCCAGATCCAGGAATGTTTGCAGTAGGGGGCTTGCCATTTGACAATTGACAATGCATGATGCCACCATCATCTCTAAATTACGTAGGCATACATACACATTGACATCAAGTTTAATCATTAATTAAACGATCACATTATGATTCAATTTTATTGATGCAAAGCGTTAATTGTGATATCACTTATGTCTATATTATTATCTCACGCTTTATTATCCCACCATATGATGATAAAGGATAAAGCACACGACCATGACACTTTTCTCATAAGAAGTGTTGTTTTACAATTATTTTATTTTATATAGCTGAGCAGGCGGGTTCCTTTCCAGGTTTTTTAAACAAGCCGACACCACTTATTAGTTTAGGGTAAAATATTTTCAGTGAATCCAAACTATCTACCATTGCTATATACCGGTAGTCAATCTACGTGCAGTGCTCTAGGCTGTGAAATATTAGATTTTAGAGAGGTTTCGTAACTTAACAGTTAAACTTACATTTACATTTAGGTAAGTGTAACTGTACATTATGACGTTTTGCTAAATTTACACTTAGTAGGTGGCGACACAAACTTGGTCCAGGATCTCGATAGAAGTTACACTTAGTAGGTGGCGACACAAACTTGGTCCACGATCTCGATAGAAGTTACACTTAGTAGGTGGCGACACAAACTTGGTCCACGATCTCGATAGAAGTTACACTTAGTAGGTGGCGACACAAACTTGGTCCACGATCTCGATAGAAGTTACACTTAGTAGGTGGCGACACAAACTTGGTCCACGATCTCGATAGGCCTTCATCACTGATAGATTCTTAAAGATGAAATTAGTAAAGCATGGACATGTTTTGTCTCAACCTCCTCATATTTTATCTGAATGAAGGAAGTCTTCTCTGTGAATTTAGTTCGCGAAAACCAAAATTCAGAGAAAAATTATGGACTAGATTATATAAATTAAACAAGGTTTAGCTATGTGTTGTGAACTTACAGTTATGGAGGCTGCTACCCGTCGGACATACTTTTATGATGTGCTCTTTACGTCATAGTCACAAAAACGGATGACGTTTAAATGTGAGTGTAAATATAAATTAGCAAAACGTCTCTACTATCCAAAAGATTGTACAAAAAAGGCTTGTTGTGCCATGAATTGTTTGTTTTTATAAGTCGTCTATCGTTGATAAAATGGATGTCGATCAAATTGATGTGTATTGTATAATAGAATGTATATACCCCCGATGTTTAAAGAATTTCATACTTGTGGTATATCATGCTTCCAGTCTAGTTTAAATATTAGATCTATATTTTTTTCCATTTTTAATATACGGTATTGTCGGTCTTCTCTACTCTACATGAATACTACATCTCTCTTTATCATAAGGTCTGTCATTGAGTCAACCGGTGTAGTGTCGATTTCTCGGTTGTACATGACAAGGAGTAGGTTCGCCTGTCCAATCTCATGGGTTTTCTCTGGTCCCCCGGCTTCCTCCCACTGCTAAAGACCTGTACGCACATGCGAATTATTGAAATAAAATTGAACCATATGTTCGTCCCAAAATGACCTAGTTAGTTTGTGTGGAGGTTAAACCCTCTCTCTCTCTCTCTCTCTCTCTCTCTCTCTCTCTCTGTTGTATTTGAAGTTTGATTTTAACCCTTGTGTTTGACTAAAACAGTTATTGTTCAAGTCAAGATTCTTCAAGATGGTTTTTTAAAGGGACATTATGGGAGATTAAATAAAGATCTGACAGTTCTCGCGATAATAGTTAAAAAATAGATAATGTAAATAGAATATGTTGAAAATTTAAGTCAGATTGCTCCACTCTGAAATGAGATATTAGCAGTTGAATTTTAGGCCTAACCTCGATCATCATTACTAAAGTCTTGATTATCCATTTTGACGTTAAATCATCCATCACAAAATATATTCAAATCCACTAAACATCACTGTCTTATTCAACATACATTATGCAAGAGCTAAATCTGTCTATTGCAGGTCTTTCTTTAGACCTGAAATGTTATATAAATTATTAATTATACATTAATTAACCTATCATGGCCATAATCAACTCTAGATGGCATCGCTAGCCTGCGATCTTTAGTGGATTATGAGCCGATTTACTGCATAACTTTCCTTCACGATTTAACAATTAAATGGATAATCGAGACTATGCTGTTTATCGTACTGACTTTAGTAATGATGATCGATGCTAGGCGGAAATTTCAATCGCTTAGTTCTCGGTTCATAGTGGATCAATTTGATTGAAATTTTCAGCAAAATGCCTTTACATTATCTAGTTTTTAACTATTATAGTGAGAACTGCCAACTCGTTATCAAATCTTCCATAATTTATCTTTAATAATCTAGATAACATTTCAGGCCTAAATAAAGACCTGCAATAGGTAGATTTAGCTCTTGCATAATGTATGTTTAACTGACAATAGGAAAAAAACCTTGAATAATTTCGAGCCAACCTGAACAAACTGCTTTGCTTCAGTCATGTATTAAATCTTCTGTCTGCATTATATTGTTTACTACAAACACTATATATGGTTTATTTGTAAACATGCACATAGTCAAGATTAATTTGTCCCAGATAGTCAAGGTTAATGTGAGATTATTGTGTCATACTGCATTTTAGCTAAGGCATTTTGAAATAAATAGTATTAGTAAAATGGGGTAACACAATATCAAAATCTTCCCCCATCCACCAAAATTTCAACTTTAAATTCATTGATTTTCATCAAATCTCTGTATTTGAAGATCAGCTTTGACATAATAATAATAATAAACCTCTTGTATAATAAAATTAACTGTGGTCTGATTCCTTGAAATTTATTAAAGTCATCTCTGTTCCTGTGACCTATAAATGCTGGCTTTAAGTTCAAAAGATTTAATTTTTTTTACAGAAATGGTTTTAGTTTAAAAGATGACAGGGAATCAGGGTCTTCAAATAGAGAAATTTGATGATGATTATTTCAATTTGATTAAAACACAGATCCTATTTCACTTCATTATTTATAGTTCAAAACTTCGTTTTTCTTGTCTTTGCTACACAAGGATCTGGAAGAGTTGTTATATAACCCACGTTCTGGATGATGTGAGGGATTAGCCAATGAAATGGTCTGTTACAGCGAGGTGCACGGAACTTTGAGTAAACCACTAGAAACACCAATTGATTAATTAATGTCTGACGTCATAGGGTCAAAAGCCACTCGTATGACACCGGACGCGACCTTCCACTACAACTGGTCAGATTTTCATGTAGTGTAGGCCATCGAAAGTATAAAAAAAAAAAAAAAATATCGATCTATATTTTAATCAGACTGAGATTATTCAAGATGAAATATTGATGGTTTTAGGTTGATTTAGATAAATTGTACTACAGATAGTATGGTTGTTCAATCAATATTATACTACAGATAGTATGGTTGTTTAGCCAATATTATACTACAGATAGTATGGTTGTTTAACCAATATTATACTAGTATGGTTGTTTAACCAATATTGTACTACAGATTGTATGGTTGTTTAACCAATATTGTACTACAGATAGTATGGTTGTTTAACCAATACTATACTACAGATAGTATGGTTGTTTAACCAATATTATACTACAGATAGTATGGTTGTTTAGCCAATATTGTACTACAGATAGTATAGTTGTTTAACCAATATTGTACTACAGATAGTATGGTTGTTTAACTAATATTATACTACAGATAGTATGGTTGTTTAACCAATATTATACTACAGATAGTATGGTTGTTTAGCCAATATTGTACTACAGATAGTATAGTTGTTTAACCAATATTGTACTACAGATAGTATGGTTGTTTAACCAATATTATACTACAGATAGTATGGTTGTTTAACCAATATTATACTAGTATGGTTGTTCAACCAATATTATACTACAGATAGTATGGTTGTTTAACCAATATTTTATTATAACCAATATTGTACTTCAAATAGTATGGCTGTTCAACCAATATTGTACTACAAATAGTATGGCTGTTCAACCAATATTTATTGATTTGGGTTGTTACTACAGATAGTATGGTTGTTTAACCAATATTGTGATAGTTTATACATGTTATTTATTTATTCATTAAATTTTTTTTGAGTTTATAAATTTTATTTAATATTATTATTATCATTGTTGTAATTATTTATACAAAAGTTAAGTGATTATTTCGGTTGTGAAGCTTGAATTTCATCAAGCTTACATGAATTCTAATTTCACATTTTTACAATAATATCATTTTTTACCCAGTCCAAAATTGCATTTATAAATATTTATTGCAATGTTTATTTAAACAAATTGATCTTGTTGGGATTCCGTTTTCATTAGCCCAGTTGGCACAGAAAACCCCATTTCAATCCATTTCTTGTTGGAGAGGCAGACTTCCTGCACGAGATATACTCCACGGCAGGATTTAAATCTGTTGTATTTTGTCGGCTTTAGCCGCTTGAAGTTAAATCTAGCCGATTGGTAAAACAATGAACCGACCACTATGGTATCATAAATCAATCTACTTTCAGCTAAATTACAACGGGTTAATTATTACTAATTATTAATAAGAAGTCAATCAATTTGTTTGTCATTACCTTAGTGAGAATCGGCCATATGTGGTTCATAATCCAAGTAATTAGCACAAGTTACAGATCACCATTTTAGGTCGATATTTCTCCTGGGAGGGGACCCCTTGACACCTTCAACTCCGTAGTTCCCCTCGCCCCTCCTGGGGTGACATCTTGTCACCTCTAAATCCGTCACTGGAACAAACAGTTTAAGTTATAAATCAAAGGGAGCTACGGTGACTAAGTGGGTAAGACACTGGCTCGCTAGCCTGAAGGCCGGGTGTTCGATCCGGCGTGGTTTCCCCTTGTCAGTGATGCAGTACGGAGGGCCTGACAAGGACCATTGTCTAGTCGTTTAGATGGGATGAAAAACCGAGGTCCTGTATACACATTGTCGTGCACGTAAAAGATCCCTTGACAGTTGGAATTCGATATAAGAGTAGGCCATAGCTCCGCTGTCCAGGCAAAATTTCCTGGCGTATGCCCGTCTTCATTAGCCCAGTCGGAGCAGAATAGTAGGACGTTAAACCCCATTTCATTTCATTTCATAGAACAAAGTCTTTATACTTCCAACAGGATCAATAAGTATTGGTTACAGTGAATATTATATCAATACATTTATTATCAGTACAATTAAAATATGTAATGTCATTGTTTGGTTCTGAATTGGTTATGTTGTTGTTCTACTGTATAAGATCTAATTATTTCTTTACCAGTTAGCGGGGTTGGATGGCTGAATGGTTAGCGTGCGCGCGTTGTATCATAAGGTCTGTCATTGAGTCAACTGCCGTGGTTTCGATTCTCCGGTTGTACGTGACAAAGAGTAGGGTCTCCTGTCCAATCTCGTGGGTTTTCTCTGAGTCCTCCGGTTTCCTCCCCCTACGCGCAAGCAAATTATTGAAATAAAATTGAACCATATCTTAGTCCCAAAATGAACTAGTTTGTGTGGAGTGGATCTAAACCCTCTCTCTCTAACCAGTTCTATCACATATAATAATAATGAATTTGTATTAGCATCTGTCATCTAGAACTGTTCTACTGGATGGTGCCGAGCTGCACTGTCGCGTTTGGTATTCGCAGTTAAATGCGTGGTTTCGAATCCCCGGTTGTACGTGACAAGGAGTAGGGTCGCCTGTCCAACCTCATGGGTTTTCTCCGGGTCCTCCGGTTTCCTCCCACTGCTAAAGACCCCTATGCGCAAACGAATTATTGAAATAAAATTAAACCATATGTTAGTCCCGAAATGACCTAGTTTTGTCGAGTGGACGTTAAACCCCATTTCTCTCTCTCTCTCTCGCAGTTAAATTTGGTATTCACAGTTAAATAAGTGAGTCTTCAAGGATAATTTAAAGGACTCTAATGTTCTGGCTTTCTTTAATGTTGCTGGGAGATTATTCCATTGGATGGGTGATGCCACTGAAAATGCCCTATCACCACATGACACTTTCAAAGTTTATGGGGAGCCAATGGTGGGATTTGAGCACAGGTGTAATGTGGTCGCGTAGTCTTGTTCTGGTGATCAGACGTGCAGCAGTGTTTTGTATCTTTTGTAGTGAGCGAAGGGAAGAAGCTTGAAGTCCGTAAAGTAATGAATTACAATAGTCCAATCTATATAATGACTGACACCAATATTGTCCTTTTAGTAATTATTAGAATTTGTTTTGATTGTTTGTCTCTTGACCTAACCACTGTGTATAAATTTATATTAACTTTAGCCTCTACAGCGTCCACAAGATTTTTTTCAAAGTTATCAATGGCCATAACTCTGGCAGTAATTATCAGAAATCAATGAAAATCACTGTACTTTTTCGTCTCACAGCCTCTAGAGCGTCCACAAGATATTTCAAAGTGATCATTGACACAGGTAATTTTTTAGACTGGTTTCCAAATTACCAAGATATAATATTGAACACAACATTCTCTTGTATGACATACAACTTAGATATCTATGACATACAGTACAGAAGTCACAGTTTTACTGAAACCGGAAAACAATAACAAATGATTTCCACAGCTAGTTTCTAAGAATTATTGTTCCACGGGCCATATTTATATCTTCAATAGTCCGATTGAATGAAATGAATTGGGGGTTTAACGACCCACTGTTCTGCTCCGAGTGGGCTAGTGAGGACGGTCATGCGCTATTCAGTGTACTATGAGGGACACTTTGCCCGGATAGCGGCGCTACCGGCCTACTCTTATATCGAATTCAATCAATCTTTGAAAAATGGTTTCATGCCATTGTCAGTGCAGGTGCGTTGCGTGCATACCATTGTTAGGGTTGGTGCATTACATTACATTGTCGGGGTTGGTGTATTACATTTCGTTGTCTGTCGGGGTTGGTGCTTTACAATTCATTTTTTTTAATTCGGATTTAATGCTTTTATAAAAGAGTTGTTTCCCACCTCACATAATATCAGTCGACATTAGTTGACATTTTGTCTTCTAGTCATTTACAAGTTCATTTGTTATCTTTTTAAAGCTACAATTTCATATTTTTATGTTATATTTTTAAAATTTATTAAAATAAAGCCTTTAAATAGATGGTATCCATAAACAGTCCTACCTTGTTAAAGAATAATCCTATTAATCCTATAATTCACTATTTCCAGCTGAGAAATTGGCAAAAATATCATTTTCGGCTTCAAATTCAAACGTTTGAACATAGCTATTTCATGGAGGTAATAGGAAAACAAGGGAGGTAATTGTGTTATTTCCTGTGTCAATGATTTTTAGGGGTGGGAAATAATGCCCATGATCGTATAATAGTGAGTTGATAACCTATTGAGCAAAAGACATAGAAATAATTATGTTTTGACTTCCTTAGAAAATATGAAATTCTCGCTTTAACATGGCGCAATATGTAGGCCTTGAACCCGAAATAGTATGCAGAGCGTCTCGTGAAAGCCTAAATTTAAATGCAGTAGCCTACATATGTTATCTTGTCATCTGATCCACCGCATATCTTATGTAACTAGGTTGGGATATGCATATTCATACTCGTTGTTGAATGGGCTTTTTGTGATAGTTTGTCCAAATATATGACTACACTAATTTCTACCTTACAAAAGTACACGGGCTTTGACAGATTACAGGTAAGTTATCATCTTTAATAGAAGGCTTGATCTCATTTTGCTCCGTACATCTAGATTATATTGGTTCTTTACCTTTTTATGTGTTCGTATCACCTCAGCTTTGACAATACCTCCCCTATAGCCTCTGTCTAAAATAACTGATAGAAATAAATGAAAGTATGATCATTGATATGGAATACCATGTTAGTTTATTTTTACAATGCGTTGAATACATAATATAGCCCCTGTCTGAAATAATTTATGGAAATAAATGAAATTATAATAATTGATATGGAATACAATATTAGTTTATTTTTACAATGCGTTGAATACATACAAATAAATAGACTTTCAAGTATACCCGTACTTACACAGTACCGTCAATCAGATATAATATTATTATTCTCTATTAATCTATATATAGTAGGGGATATTCAGAAACAATACAAAACTGCGGAAATGCACTGCTGTAAACCAGTGTATGTTAATAACAAGCCACTTGCCTACACATGAACATAAACAGTTCATATGGGCGGCTTATCTGACGGTCTCATTTCACTCCCAAAGAGATACACCGTAAGTGAAAATGGACGATTTTGATTTTTGTCTTAATAATGCATAATGTGGACATATATTGTCATTACCATGACGTGTTAGTAAGAAGTTACATGTATAGACGTAAGGACGTATTACTAGATCAGGAGTTAGAATTATGGGGGAAATTCGGCTCCATAAAGTAGACCTAGTATGGATTAGAGGTCTAATAGTAAAACTAAAATTTGTTCTTTCATATTTCAGAAGTGAACAAGAAATTACCTGTCCAGACAAATACTCAAAACCAATAGAGAAGAAAAGAGAGCAGTGATGGGGAGTACCACTTGTAGTCGCCTTTTTCTGAATAGACGGGGTTTCTATTCTATTGCCAGAAGACAGAGTCAGACATTTAATTGTCAAATTTCGAGACAATTGAACACAGTATCTCGACCTTGGTCAAATAGAAATTTGAGAGGGAATAGCTGGTCTTTAAGGAATCAAGTTTCATTATGTCGTTACATATCAACAGAAAATCAAGTAAAATCAGATTTACAGATAAAAACCGATTATTTAGAGTTTAAAAGCAACAATTTACAGTTGTCATGGTTATGGTTGCGAGATCATTGTCGTTGTGAAGTCTGCTACAACCATGTGACTAATCAAAAGAATTTCTTGGTAGATCCATCAGGTTCACAATCTTCATCTGTTACTCCAGAAAATGTAGAATTAGAAAGTGACGGACAGGAATTGAAAATAACTTGTAAGCATAGATCAAAGTATAGTTTATCTATAGTTTTTAATTTTTAAACAGGCCGGGTGATGATTTAGTCAGGGCCGGCGGAAGCAATTCTTGATTGGAGGGCTACCATCCTAGGACTGCAAGGGTCCAGGAGCAGCATAGAACCCGGAAGCTCCTTGATGTCTAGATCATCACTCAGCAATGAAGTGAATTTTATTTCTTTTCTAAATCCCTTACCATGCAAACACAGTCAATGGTGGTTTCCTGCGATACTGAGCTTGACAAATAAAAATATGCATAATAATACCAAAGTTGTGGACACTCTAGAGGTCACAATCTTTATACAGGGTGACCCCGAAAAACAGAACCCATAAAATTTTTTATTAAATCCTACAAAGGTCTAGCAAATTTCAAGAAGTTTGCTGGACTTAAGCTTCAGTCTGTGTACGATCTTTTAAAAATATACTCCAAATGGCCTCCGCGGCATTAGGGTCAAACTTGCATACGTCGCGCAAAATTGTCAATTACTGGAACACATTCCTCTTTGAGAATATCCCTGGTTTTTGCTGTGATTGTTGCCTTCAGTTAACCAATCGTTCGAGGTTTGTTCTGGTACATATTATCCTTGAGATAATCAGAGAAATCACCCAAAATTTGCTGGACCTTTGAAGGATTTTATAAAAAATTTATGAGTCTGTTTTTTGGGGGGTCACCCTGATCAAACTGACAATGTATGTTTATAACCGAAAAATCTCTGTTTCTTTCGATATTGGCGCATACAGGACCGTATCTTCCTATATATACATTTTTAACGTTCAAATATATCACCGTTACACCATAATTACGGTTGAGTGCAAATTTTGATATTGGCGCGTATTGGACCGCAACTTTTTGAATACCCCTTATTGTACGAAATATCACGTTTTCAGCTTGTGGATCCTCTAGGGTTCACCAATTTTGTATTATTTTCAAAACCGTTTAAAATTTATCAGCGTTATATAATAATATGGTTGAGTCGTGAATATCCGACCGAAACTTTCGATCAAATGGCCACTCCCCTTTACGCAAATAGTATAAAAGAATGTAATGCTCAGGTTATCTGACTGAGATGAAAATTAAAACAAGTATCAATAGTTCTTGGGTAAGTTCGACTTTGGAGCTATTGTCCACTGTCGTTTACGAAAAATGTGCAATATGAAAGAAATTTGTTGACTTTCCCGAGGCAACAATTTTTGTCCAATTCATGAGATGAAACTTAAACTATGTGTTAAGGATCAAAAGTTCCTGGATGAGTTGACTTTTGTAAGCATCTGACCTTACATTCTAGAGCTATAGCCCCTGCTTTTTATGCAAAATGTGAAATATGTATGAATTTGTAGGCGCTCCACTCCTTTCACTGCACTTTCAATATCTGAATTTATTATTTATTTTATTTTATTTTCTAGGGAAAGATAATCATATTACAAGATATGACATTCCCTGGTTAAAAGAAAATTCATTTTCAACAGAAAGTAAACAACGAATAAAACAGTTTTTTTGGACTGGAGAAAAGATGAGATCTGAAGATCGTCCAGTAGTTGATTATGAAGATCACATGAAAACAGAAGAAGGGTTAAAACAGTCCCTATATTACTTGTTAAAGTATGGTTTTACAATTGTTCAAGGGGTAAATAACCATGTTATTTATCTTATAATCTCCGCGATATATAGTGTTCTCCGCGGTGTAAAGTGTTCTCCGCGGTATAAAGTGTTCTCCGCGACGTATACATAAACATTTTCTCCGCGGTGGAAAGTGTATAAAGAAAACTTTATACTTTGAACAAGATAAACACACGACAGTCTTTTGTTCAGTTGACCTGACCTAATATTAAACTAGGTCACCAGCAAGAATCATTTTAAAATTTTTTACGCAAATGGTGATACTGTGAGCAAATAAGTTAAAATTCAATTAAATTATGAATTTTATGTAATCATTAATTAAATTTGATTATGGATATATTTGTTGTTTTTGAAGGCACCAGTTACTATTAAAGATACAGGAAAAGTTTCTGAACGTGTGGCAAATATTATGGAAACTTTTTTTGGTCGTGTATGGAGTTTTACCGCCGACTTTGAGAGAGCTGATACTGCTTATAGTTATGTTGGTCTAGGTTGTCATACAGATACATCATATTTAACATGTCCAGCTGGGTAAGTAAATACGGCCTATATACTGCTTATAGTAATGTTGGTCTAGGTTGTCATACAGATACATCATATTTAACATGTCCACCTGGGTAAGTAAATACAGCCTATATACTGCTTATAGTAATGTTGGTCTAGGTTGTCATACAGATACATCATATTTAACATGTCCAGCTGGGTAAGTAAATACAGCCTATATACTGCTTATAGTATAGTAATGTTGATATTAGTTGCCATACGGATACAACATATTTAACATGTCCAGCTGGGTAAGTCCAAACTAGATAAAAGCTTGTCAGGCCACCTACACATAATGTAATAATATAGGGCCTATATATACTGTAGAGGTTATTTAAGTTCTCTAAAAGATGCTCTGGTTAATGTATTGAAGTAGTTGGCTAGAACCAGTGACAATGAGAACTAGGCTAACAAGGATATGTCTGGTAGACTAAAATCGGGAAATGACATCAGAGTCTGGTAATCCAAATATGGGAATCCCATGCATTAGAAATGTGGACACCCGTTCTCCTTGGTGCCCATATTAGTACACTGTATTCAACTCCAGGGTAGCTTCTTGCAGTTGACCAATCAGATAAAGGAAGTACCTGGTCCATTTTCTGAGGGTTAGTCCGTGACTCATGCACGTGATTAATTTTCTTTAGATATCAGACAGATTTTAATGGAGGAAGGTGTAGCCAGTTCTATCAGTAGACTCGCCCTGGCAAGTTGGTTGTAGTCGTAAGTTGTAACCTATGTATCCAGCGCTTGACACAAAAATGTAGCAACGAATTATGATATTGTTATTCCTGTGTGTAACCATAAACCGCTTAACCGGAGCAAGATGCAAATTCACAACGTGAGCTGCCAGGGTGACATTTAAAGAAACGGTTTCTTTAGACATCAGACAGATTTTAAGAGGGGAAGATGTAGCAAGTTCTATCAGTAGACTCGCCCGAATGACTATACATTGTCCCATCCCAGGCCATCGGCCCTGAACCACTGACAAGGAGAAACCATGCCGTAAAATCCTGATGAACTTTCTCCGTCAATGCAGGGATCAAACACGGGGCCGCCAGGTTAGGGAGCCAACGCCCTACCCACTGAGCAACCGTGGCTCCCTAATTAAAACAACTAAAGATGACCAGTCTTTCCACCAGCCATCCTTTTAACATTTTAAGACAATCATTTCAAGCCTTCAAACATTTAAAGATGGATAACGTGTATTTTATTTTGTAATTTGATAATCATCAGTATTTTTGTTTGGTCAGGATGCAAGTATTTCATTGTATAGAACACGATGGTGAAGGGGGGCAAACTCTGTTAGTCGATGGTTTTCAAGCTGCTCATAAATTAAGACAAGACCATGAAGAGGACTTTAATTATTTAACCCGTGCTATTGTACCTCATGAATTTCTGGATAAGAAAACTAAAGATCATTATCGTAGTCTTGGTCCTGTCCTGTCAGTTTCACCAACTTCAAGGGAGTTAACCCATATCAGGTTAGTTTGAGGCCGCTGTCTGAATTTGACTTTTAATTGAATATCAGATTTTGATTTTTGTTAATCTAAAAATAAAACAAATAGCTAGATTTGTAAATGAGAGAGAGAGATGGGGTTTAATTGTCAACTCAACACAAACTTGGTCATTTCGGGACTAACATATGGTTCAATTTTATTTCAATTTTTCGCTTGCGCGTAGGGGTCTTTAGCAGTAGGAGGAAACTGGAGGACCTGAAGAAAACCCACGAGGTTGGACAGGCGACCCTACTCCTTGTTACATAAAACCAGGGAATCGAAACCATGCCAGTTGACTCAATGACAGACTTAATAATACAACGTGTATGCACTAACCATTCGGCCCGAGATAATAAATTTAAAACAATATTCTTCTATCATTCTGTATTTTAAATAGATTCAAGATGAACAATTTTGCACCTTTATCTACCATTCCACAAAATGAGATGAAGCAATTTTACACAGCTTATAACAGACTACGAACAAACCTGGTGAATCCGGCTAATGAATTTTGGTTGAAGTTAAAACCTGGTATGGTATTATTTGTTGATAACTGGCGTGTTTTACATGGTAGATCTAGTTTTACTGGTAAACGGGTAGTTTGTGGTTGCTATATCAACAGAAATGATCTTAATAATGCCTACAGAAGACATGGTATGTTGTAGGTTATGTAGTTTGTGGTTGCTATAGCAACAGAAATGATTTTAATAATGCCTACAGAAGACACCATATGTTATGAAAATTGAAAGGATTGGAAAACAAGTTGCACACTGTCCATCCACAGTCTTTTTTATTGTTTCTCATTGAGTACAATCAAAAAATGAATCCGTTAAATATTCAAGGATGTCCGTCTGTGGGTACATTTTCTGATTTAATCAATGCGAGTTGTTGAGACTTATTGGGCCAATTTTAACTTGGATGTTTTTTTATTTTATTTTGAATATGGTAAGTGATTTCTTGATTATATTATAAATATTGGAAATTAATCCGAATTTATTCTGTTTGACATGATTGAACGATACATGATTGAACTATACAATTTGTATGATTGAACTATACAATTGGTATGATTGAATTATACAATTCGTATGATTGAACTATACAATTCGTATGATTGAACTATACAATTCGTATGATTGAACTACACAATTCGTATGATTGAACTATACAATTCGTATAATTGAACTATACAATTAGTATAATTAAACTATACAATTCATATGATTGAATTATACAATTCGTATGATTGAATTATACAATTCGTATGATTGAACTACACAATTCGTATGATTGAACTACACAATTCGTATGATTGAACTACACAATTCGTATGATTGAACTATACAATTCGTATAATTGAACTATACAATTAGTATAATTAAACTATACAATTCATATGATTGAATTATACAATTCGTATGATTGAACTACACAATTCGTATGATTGAACTACACAATTCGTATGATTGAACTATACAATTCGTATGATTGAACTATACAATTCGTATGATCGAACTATACAATTCGTATGATTGAACTATACAACTCGTACGATTGAACGATACAATTCGTATGATTGAACGATACAATTCGTATGATTGAACGATACAATTGGTATGATTGAACTATACAATTCGTATGATTGAACTATACAATTCGTATGATTGAACGATACAATTGGTATGATTGGACTATACAATTCGTATGATTGAACTATACAATTCGTATGATTGAACTATACAATTCGTATGAGAGAAATTAGTTAATCTATCACTGATTAAAGTTAAACACAGACATTTTAAAATCCTTTTCGAAGAGTTAAGCAAATACCCATGCCAGTTTGCTCAAAGAAGGGGCAGTGTTTGAATTTTTGAAAATTAAAAGAATTAATGTTAATCTTCAATCTGATTAAAACACAGATTCTATTTCGTTTCGTTTTTTATAGTTCAAAATTTCATTTTACTTGTCTTTACTACGCTAGGATCTGGAAGAGTTGCTATATAACACCCGTTCTGGTTTGAAGTAAGGAATTAGTCAATGAAACGATCTGTTACGGCGAGTCTTTGGCGTGCGATGCACGAAACTGTGGGTAAACCTCTAGAAACGTCAACGCTAATTGATTAATCAAGGTAGGACATCATAGGGTCAAAAGCCACTGGTACGACCCCTGACGTGACCTTCCACTAGAACCGGTCAGATGTTCATATGTAGTGTAGACCATCGAAAGTATACAAAAAACGAAATGAAAGATAGATCTGTATTTTAATCAGATTGGTTTATCTTGAATATGTTATTGTGTAAAATGTATTATGTTTATTTTCATGTTGAATATGTTATTCTGTAAAATGTATTTTGTTTATTTTCATGTTGAAAATTATTATGCGTCTTTATGGCCGCCTTGTAAAAAGCTAAACCAGCTGTTACTTACATACAGACAATGTTAGAATCCCACTATGTGGGGAAGTTATGTACCGTACACAAAAAAAGTTATGTTTTATTATAAAGATTTGTTTTGTTATTGAAAATAAATGTTTATCTTTTCATACTCAGTATTTCTAATACATTGTATTGGAATTCTTATGTACCTCAACCTAACTCAGTACTTCAACTTAAACGAGGGGTCGGATGGCCGAATGGTTAACATGTGCGCGCTGTATCATAATTTTGTCATTGAGTCAACTGGTGGGGTTTCGATTCCCTGGTTGTACGTGACAAAGAGTATGGTCGCCTGTCCAACCTCTTTGGTTTTCTCCGGGTCCTCCCACTGCAAGCAACCCCTACGTGCAAGCGAATAATTGAAATAAAACTGGACCATATGTTAGTCCTCTCTCTGTAATACTTTTAGAAGAATTTTTGCTCGAGAAATAACATATTCGCATAATATGTGATATGTACTTAAAATACTTAAATCAACTTTGGTTTGAATGACATATTGTGATATAAAAACACTTGTAGAGCCATAACATAACTGGTTCTATGTCAACAACATGTTAACAAATATCTCATGAGAATATTCTTCGGTAAAATTCCATTCCACCATATAAGGGTGGGTTGTCGACGTCATTGGGCTCAATTAACCAATCTCTATAATTATTTACATCATATTTGACCAATTGGATAATTGAATGTCCAAAACCAGTAGATACAAAATTAGGATACTGGTGAGAATTCGCCAGACTTCCATTAGATTCCAGAGAGCTTCCATCTGAGTTCCTAGACAGCCGCGAGGCTGGCTAGGGTAGAGAAATGGTTTTAGCTAGTATTGTTATATATTATGCTTGTATCCATATATGTATTCGGCTATGCTATATAAAATATGTAGAAGCAAACTGTCGCATTGTTATTCCTGGTAAGACAACGTCTTAAGAAACTGTAAGAAGTAAATACACAATGTGAAGCAGAAGTAAAGACAGCTAGAGACAAATTCTAGACGATCACAAGGCTACAGAAATATGTAGTAAGAAAAGATCCATGGGTCGTATGTAGGATGTGGCGACCGGTTTCCTCGTCCGCTCTCCACGTCACATATTCTTTTTCATCTTAAGTCTTGTACAGTTTACTGAAATATTGAGTTTTTAGACTGACTTGTAATCAAAATGAAATGAAATGGGGTTTAACGTCCTACTGTTCTGCTCCTAAACTGGGCTAATGAAGACGGGCATACGCCATACAGTGTGCTATGAGGGAAATTTTGCCCGGGCAGTGGCACTATCGCCTACTCTTATATCGAATTCCAACTGCCAAGGGATCTTTTACGTGCATTCTAATGTATACACGGGACCTCGGTTTTTCGTATCATCCGAAGGACTAGACAGCTGTCCTTGTCAGGCCCTCCCACTGACAAGGGGAAACCACGTGGGAAAATCCAGATGAACTTTCTCGGTTGTATATAAAAGATATACTATATAGGTTGTAATTACATGGTAATAATGATTTCCACAGCTTTGATTATAAAATATAGAGAAATCAAAATCATGAGGATGAATTGTTAAAGATACATTATGGGAGATAAGATAACGAGATGGCAGTTCTCGCTATAATATTTAAAAACTAGATAGTGTAAAGGTAATTTGCTGAAAATGTCAGTCAAATTGATCCACTATGAGCCGAGAACGAAGCGGGTGAAATGTTGGCATAGTCTCGGTTATCATTACTAAAATCATTAATATAAACAGCTTAGTCTCGATTATCCACGGCATATAGGAATCTAATCCAGCCAACATCGAAGGCTTGCGATGCCATCGAGAGTTGATTATGGTCTGGATAGGTTAATTAATATCTAATTGATAATTGAGATAACATTTCAGGCCTAAAGAAAGACTTGTAATAAGCAGATTTTGCTCTTGCATAATGCATGTTAAATTCAGTCCTGGCCTCCTGGGAATATATCAGTCACAGCCATTCCATCAAATTTAGTCTAGACTAAACAGCAGTAATTGTGTATATGCCTCTGGCTTTCTGATAATCAAGTATACAATTTACACAATGACCGAGTGAAATGTCTCAATCCTCCAATTAACAATGCATTCTGCATGTTTCAAATACAACTAAAAGGCTATTTTTCTTTTCATACCATTTTAAGAGAGGGAGAGAAATGGGGTTTAACGTCCACTCGACACATATGTTTTATCACTTGAACTAATTCACAATACGCACCAAAATATGTTCCAAAATATTGTTCTTTTATCTCAATCTATTTCACAGAGGTATTGCAAAGACTGATAAATCGGTAAAAGATGACTACATTCAACAAATGACGTCATATCACGCGGCGTCAATCATTGGCTTAATGACGCGTGCATTGTTTACATAAGACGCTACTAGTCTGGGCAGAATGGTGCTTTTTTACCCATTTTACATACCCATTTACACTAAATAGGAAATATTTTTTACATACATAGACTTGAAACACCTTTATTTATTTTTCTAAGGTTTAAAAAAAATTGCTCTAGAATTTAATTTGCAGAAGGAACGAGCCAACAGTGAGACTGGTGTACCCCACCTGTTGCGTACTTCTAACTTAAGCCTAACGTGTAAGCAATACGTCAGCATACGCTGAAAATTTTATGCATGCACAAAATTTTGGGCCGCGTTCGGCGTTAACAACTTATACCATCGTATTTCAGCGTGCTCGTAACTTCTTAAAAACGTACCCATAACGTATTCAACGTACACCAGCGTGTTCGCTAAATTTCTCATACGTCGGCATACATTGATGCTGTACGTCAATAGAGACTTTTGGCAAGCAGAAATTTCCCATCCGTATCACGTATCCGTATCGTATACGTGATACGATGCGTCAATGTAGTTTTAGAGTTTTGGCAGATTTTCGCGTCGCGTACGTGTGCGTCGATCAGCTGAGCTTAGTTCTATTACAGCATGATGGCAACTATCTACCAAGATCACCATCAGTACTAGTCAAGTGCCTATTAGAGCCGACAATTTCTCAGAGGGAATGAAGTAGCTCGACAATCGTTGAGCTATTAAAAAAAATAATGTCGAATCTTATTAAAAATCTTCGACTTCGACTCAACTGCAATTTTTGGTTTCACTAATGTATCATTTCAGAAAGTTTATACCCCTTTACCATAGAATGAAATCATTTACAGATTTGCAAGGTTCCGACTCCCTAAATTTAGCATGTAAATTAGATCAACCATCATGGTTAAAATCACATCAAATATACACAAAGATTCATAATAACGCTACGATACCATTTCAGCGTCTAAAAGTAGCAAAAAAAAAAAAAGACGGTAAATGTTATACGGGCCTTTTCCATATGAAAGCTGTTCGATACGTGCTGTCGTATCCGTGTGCCGTATCGCGTATGAGAAATGCACACACATTGATGACGTCACACGCAAAATCCATACGGATACGCTATACGGACCAGAAATTTACGCTTGCCAAAAG